ATAATAATAAAAATATTTGGGAAGTGTCCGATGTGTGATACAACAGCCAGCAGTGTGATCTTGTCTGCTGTGGACTCATCTTGTTGTGTTTCAAATAATAATAATAAACATGATAATGGTAATAATCATAATAATAGTAGTAGTAGTAGTCATGCTGGTTTTTCTGTACACAGCTCTGTTTCGAGACAATGGAACGGTCATATTATTCTCTGTCACAAACTTACCTGTCCTTTGAGATACCCTATAATGATAATAACAATAATAATAATAACTAGCTGTACCAGCAACGTGTTGCTGTGTCCAACCTTCCTCTTTCTCTCCTTTCTTTCTCTCCTGCCTTCCCTTTTTTTTTCTTTCCTTCTCTCCTTCCTTCCTTCTCTTCCTCTTTCCTTCCCCCCTTTTCTTTCCTTTCTTCTTTTTCCCCAATTTTTCCTTCTCTACCTATTCTTGGACTGCAACTCCCAGCAGTCCTCCTGATCAATCTATCTACCTACCTATCTACCTCTGTCTAATCTATCTATCTATCTTATTTATCTGGAGGAATGCTGGGAGTTGCAGTCCAGGAATAGGAAATTGGAAATATGCAGGGATTGGGATGCTCTCAAAGAAATCCAAGAAGAAGAACGCTTGCATCTTGGAAGCGGTGCATTTGGATCATCCTCCTCTCCTAAAGGGCCTGGTCTAGGGGATGCTGGGAACTGTAGTCCAGAAAAGAGTGTGGATATGCTATTGTGTGTTTTGTTTGGCAGGGGGAGTCATTTCGAGCATGTACTGTAGCGTTTTGTTTTTTTGGTTTTTTTTCTCCTTTTTTGGCTTTTTAAGTCCCTTCTGCTGTGTTTTTCAGTGTTTTTATGATAGTCACTCGTTGGCCTGATAGGTGTCTTGTGTCCAAATTTCATGTCAATTCATCAATTGGTTTTTGAGTTATGTTAATCCCACAAACGAACATGACATTTTTATTTATATAGATAACTAGCTGTACCCGCCACGCGTTGCTGTGGCCAACCTTCCCTCCCTTTTTCTCCCTCTCCTTCCTTCCTTCCCTCCCTCCCTCTTTCTTTCGTTCCTTCTTTTTTTTCTTTCCTTCTCTCTTTCCTTCCTTCCTCCCTCCCTCCCCTCTTTTCTTTTCCTTCTTTCTCTCCTTTTTTCCTTCTCTATCTCTTTCTTTCCTTCCTTCCTTTGCTCTTTGCTTTCATCCTTACTTCTCTCTTTCTTTCCTTCTTTCTTTCCTGCCCTCTTTCAATCCTTTCTTCTCTCCCTCTTTCCTTCCCTTCTCTCCCTGTTGCCTGGGCACCGGCAGGAAGGGAGCCTTGCTGTAGCCCTCAGCCTTGCTGGGCCGGGGGCAGGGCAGGCGGGACGTGCTTATTGAGGCAGGCTTTGCTCACCCAGTGTTGCCCCTTCTTCTTTCTGCCATGGCTGCGGGGCACCTTCCCTGTTTGGCGGGTGGGCATGCAGGCAGGGTCACATTAAAGGCGCCCTACGGCTGCGGCAGGAAGAAGGGGCCAGTGCTGGGTGAGCAAGGCCCACCTCGAAAAATCCCTCCCGCCCCCGCTGGGCCCAGCAAGGCTGAGGGCTGCAAAGCTCCCTTCCCGTCGGCACCCCGGCAAGGGAAGGTAACGCCTGGCGAGTAGTGTCCACACGGAGCAGCCAGCCTCCTTCTTTTTCCCCTGGAGAGGCAGGCGGGAAGGAGGTCCGTGTTTGGTGGGGCCTGTTGCAACTCAGAATAGTATTCACCTCGCTCCAGACACCACCACACCAAAGCTGTAGGTTTTTGTAGTTTATTGAAAAAAGAAAATCAAAACAAAGAAATAGAAATGCAGTAGGTCCATAGGCAAAACAGAGACTTAAATGCAAAGGCAAAGTTCCCAAGAACCAAAGGCAAAAACATGAAGCATAATCCTTTAGCAATGGTCAAACCAAAGTCCATGGTAAACTGGAAAACAAGACCCAAATCCCAAACTCAGGAAGCCAGAAGCGCGCTGCTAAAAGCCAAGGAAAATCTCCAGAAGTTAACATGGGAAGAGCAATGTTGGACTGACAAAAACTGCCTGTCAGCTACAAGACTAAATATCATTTGCGAACATGAAAGCATTGCGTTGACCTTTGGCACCTTTGGCTTCTCGCTTGCTGGCCAAGTGAGTGCTTATCCAAAGCCTTAATTGCAAACAATCTGATCTGCTCATTAATTCATTATCTTCAAGGCTATGCAACCCCTTATCTGGGTCCAGCTGGGACGGATCCTCCACCTGGCCATATGGGATTTACTCTCGCTATCAGTCTCTCTAACTGCAGGACAATCCTTTCCCCTGAGAACTGACTTGCTGTTTCTCCTTCAGCAGCCACACTATCAGTCCCGTCTGAAATATGTACAGGAATCTGTAACCCATCAGGCTCCTTGTCATCCTGCAGGCCAAAGTCAGGCTCAGAAGGCCCAAACAGGCCAGCGTCCTCAGCTTCAGACTCAAAGTCAAGAGAGGAAGGAAAGAGGAAACAAAGAGAGGAAGGAGACTGGGAGGGAAGGAAGAAAGGCCCACGCGAGGCCCTGACGTGGTGGGGGAGGGTAGGCCCAAAGGCAAGGAAGGTAGGGGTCCCATGGGAGTGGCGAGTGGGAGAAAGAGCGGGGAGACACTAAATTGGGGACCTAGGGAAGCCGAGGGTCTAGCTGCCCAGGCCACCAGAGCAGTCAACACTCCCTGCTCGTGCAGGAGGGGCCAGTGGGTCATTTTCACGCATGCGCTGTACCTTGTTTTATCATGTTTGGGTTTTAAAGTCACTTTCACTGTTTTGGGGGGAGGGTTGAGTGAAGGACATACATTGGGTTGTTAGGTGTATGCTGTCCAAATTTGGTGTCAATTCGTCCAATGGTTTTTGAGTTATGTTAATCCCACAAACAAACATTACATTTTTATTTATTTATTTATGTAGTGGTTTTGCCCTACAAAGCTCTGGTCTGAGATTCTCCGTCACACACTTACTTGTCCTTTGAGATACCCATTAATAATAACAATAGTAACAATACACATAATAATAATAATAATAATTGTAATGATGATAATAATAAATGTAATCTATATATATGAAAATGCACATGTCGTAATGAGTGGCTTAAAAACAAAAGAACTGCTGGGCCAATACCCACCAAATTTGGCAACAAAACTCCTCACCATACAAGGTGTGACCATCAATAATAAAAAAAACAAAAAAAGAACTTACAAATCCTAAAAAAGGAGAAGATACCACTGAGCACTGTGGACTCAAACAATATTTATTTATCGTGTCATCTGCAACCAGAACATTGTATTACATTTCTAACAGAACAAAACAAACAAACAGATTTTAAAAAACCACAAATTTTGCAAACTTGGTAGTTGATTAAATGTCCTTTGACCAGTATCTGGCCACTTGGAGTGCCTCTGGTGTTGCTGCAAGAAGGTCCTCCATTGTGCATGTGGCAGGGCTCAGGTTGCATTGCAGCAGGTGGTCAGTGGTTTGCTCTTCTCACTCGCATGTCGTGGATTCCACTTTGTAGCCCCATTTCTGAAGGTTGGCTCTGCATCTCGTGGTGCCAGAGCGCAGTCTGTTCAGCGCCTTCCAAGTCGCCCTGTCTTCTGTGTGCCCAGGGGGGAGTCTCTCATTTGGTATCAGCCATTGGTTGAGGTTCTGGGTTTGAGCCTGCCACTTTTGGACTCTCGCTTGCTGAGGTGTTCCAGCGAGTGTCTCTGTAGATCTTAGAAAACTATTTCTTGATTTAAGTCGTTGATGTGCTGGCTGATACCCAAACAGGGGATGAGCTGGAGATGTCTCTGCCTTGGTCCTTTCACTATTGGCTGCTACTTCCCGGCGGATGTCAGGTGTGCAATACTGGCTAAACAGTGTAATTTCTCCAGTGGTGTAGGGTGCAGACACCCCGTGATAATGCGGCATGTCTCATTAAGAGCCACATCCACTGTTTTAGTGTGGTGAGATGTGTTCCACACTGGGCATGCGTACTCAGCATCAGAGTAGCATAGTGCAAGGGCAGATGTCTTCACTGTATCTGGTTGTGATCCCCAGGTTGTGCCAGTCAGCTTTCGTATGATATTGTTTCTAGCATCCACTTTTGGCTTGATATTCAGGCAGTGCTTCTTGTAGGTCAGAGCACAGTCCAGAGTGACTCCCAGGTATTTGGGTGTGTTGCAATGCTCCAGTGGGATTCCTTCCCAGGTGATCCTCAGAGCTCGGGATGCTTGTCTGTTCTTAAGGTGAAAGGCACATGTCTGTGTTTTAGATGGGTTAGGGATCAGCTGGTTTTCCCTGTAATAGGCAGTAAGAGCACCTAGAGCTTCGGAGAGCTTCTGTTCAACCATCTCAAAGCTCCCTGCTTGCGTAGTAATGGCACGATCATCAGCATAGATGAAGCTCTCTGTCCCTTCTGGAAGTGGCTGGTCATTTCTGTAGATGTTGAATGTGGATGGAGCAAGCACGCTCCCCTGAGGCAGGCCGTTCTTCTGTTTCCGCCATCTGCTTTTCTGGCCCTGGAACTCAACAAAAAAGCTCCTGCTTTGTAGCAGGTTTCCTATGAAGCGGGTGAGGTGGTAGTCCTTTGTGATATTAAACATTTTTCTCAGGAGGAGGCGGTGGTTCACAGTGGTTCACACTCAAACAATGATGGATCCGGACCAAACTCTACACGAAGACTCAATATGCCCAAATGTGAACACTGGTGGAGTTTGGGGAAAATAGAATCTTGACATTTGGGAGTTGTAGTTGCTGGGATTTGTAGTTCACCTACAATCACAGAGCATTCTGAACCCCACCAACGATAGAATTGAGCCAAATCTCCCACACAGAACCCCCATGTGGGCCACAGCAACACGTGACAGGGGACAGCTAGTAATAATAATGATAATGCTGATGGTGATGCTGGTTTTGCCCTACATAGCCCTCCTCTTACTTGTCCTTTGGGGCACCTGTGCAGGGCTTCTGTGCCACTTCTTCCTTCTCTGCTGTGTCTCTTGCAGGTGCGCTGGAGCTCTCCCGCAGCAGCCCCGTGGCCTCCTGGGCTTGCGCCATGCTCTACTGCTTTGGCAGCTACATCCTGGCCGACCTGCTCCTGGGGGGAGCCCCCCTTGACTGCTTCAGCAACAACGGCAGCATCCTCCTGGCCACCGCTGTCTGGTGAGAAACACACACACAATCTTTTCATTCATCTCAAAATCAAAAACAGGCTGATCCCTATCGAAAGCCACGGTCGGACAGAGGAGGAGGAGGGCAAACAGCCCTGGGTGACCTCTTTTAGCTCCGAGGCATCCTTTGGGAGCACGTGTCAGAAAGGACCCCCGCAAAGGCCATCTTGCCCAAACTTCAATCAGGCAGGAGGACACAATCTGATCCCTCCTGACAGAGGGCTGTCCTGCCGCATAGACATTAGAAGGTTCATGGATAGACAAAAGAGGGCTATCGAATCCTAGAGTTGGAAGGGGACCCTAAGGGCCATCCAATGCAGGTGGAAATACACCATCCGATCCCTCCCGACAGAGGGCCACTGTGCCACATATTTATTTATTTATTTATTTATTTATTTATTTAGTATATTTCTATACCGCCCCTCTCAGCCTTTCGGCGACTCGGCAAAGATTCAATGCCACTAAGGACACAGATTACAATATACAATATAAAACATCAGCAACAATAAAATCAAACATTGTAATGAGACATACTTCAATCAATATTTATTAAAACAATGTCCAGTTCCGTCATATACTGTATATACTCGAGTATAAGCCTAGTTTTTCAGCCCCTTTTTTAGGCTGAAAAAGCCCCCCTCGGCTTATAATCGAGTCAATGTTATTTATTATTTTACTCTGCAATTAGTATTATTTTTATTAGGTTTATTATTATTATTATTACACTTACATTATTTTACTCTATTATTTTATGACATTTATTATTTTACTCTATTTATTATTATTATTATTAATATACTCTTGTTACTGTTATTATAGTTATTATTTTTCTCTATTATTACATTTATTGTTTTACTCTACTTCGTATTGTTATTATATTTATTATTTTACTCGATTATTGATATTTTTATTATTACATTTATTATTTTACTCTATTTATTATTATTATACTCTATTGTTACTGTTATTATAGTTATTATTTCACTCTATTATTACATTTATTATTTTACTCTACTTCGTGTTGTTATTATATTTATTATTTTACTCTATTGATATTTTTATTATTACATTTATATTTTACTCTATTTATTATTATTATACTCTATTGTTACTGTTATTATAGTTATTATTTTTCTCTATTACTACATTTATTATTTTACTCTACTTAGTATTGTTATTATATTTATTATTTTACTCGATTATTGTTATCTTTATTATTACATTTATTATTTTACTCTATTGGAATGATACGTAAGCACATTTGCATTGAAGAAGGTTAGAATGATGGTTTAATCAGAATTGGAAAGTCTTATTTTAAATTACAGCTTTATGTAAATATTAAAAACATTTCACCTACTGATGCCTCAATTAATGTAATTTTATTGGTATCTATTTTTATTTTGAAATTTGCCATTCGCGGCTGCATTTCCCACCTTCGGCTTATACTCGAGTCAATACATTTTCCTAGTTTTTTGAGGTCAAATTAGGTGTCTCGGCTTATATTCGGGTCGGCTTATACTCGAGTATATATGGTAGTTATTCTGTTATTATATCCGTTACTCTGTATTCTCAAATGCTCGCTCAAATAGCCATGTCTTAAGATTCTTCCGTAATGATATGAGCAAGGAAGCCGATCTAATCTCCCTAGGAAGGGCGTTCCATAGCCGAGGGGCCACCACTGAGAAGGCCCTGTCTCTCGTTCCCGCCAACCGTACTTGTGATGATGGCGGGACCGAGATCAGGGCCTCTCCAGTTGATCTTAAAGTCCTCGCAGGTTCATAAGGGGAGATTCATTCAGACAGGTAGGTTGGGCCAGAACCGTTTAGAGCTTTATAGGCTAAAGCCAGCACTTTGAATTGTGCATAGACTTTAGAAGGTTCATGGATAGACATAAGGAGGCTATGGAATCCTAGAGTTGGAAGAGGACCCTAAGGTCCATCCAAACTAGACAGAAATACACCATCCAATCCTTCCTGACAGAGGGCCACCCTGCCACATAGACGTTGGAAGGTTCATGGATAGACATGAGAGGTCTGGAAGGGACCCTCAAGGGCCAACCAGTCCATCCTCCTTCCATAGACATAGATATAAAGAGCTGAACCATTCTCTTTCTATGATTGTTCAATTAAAATAATATTTGAATGAAGGCTAGTACTGTTCCCAGAGGATGGGTTGGGGGGTGTAAATCGATAAACACAAGTGGGAGATAAAGGTGGAATAGGCAAGGATAAGAACACTCCATAGACACACTCCAATCTCTCCCGACAGATGACCATCAGCCTCATTATTATTTGTATATTATTATTATTATTATTATTATTATTATTATTATTATCTTTATTTATACCCCGCTAACATCTCTCGAAGGACTCAGTGCGGCTTACAAAAGGCCAAGGCCCTCAATAAAACAACAGCATAACAATACAACAATAAAACTCATAAAGCAAAACAATAAACATTAAAGCAATAACAATAAACATTAGAACAATAACACCATGACCCATTTAAAACTAAGGCCGAATAAAATATGAATAATAAATATGAATAAATAAAAGAAGTAAATAAATAAAATACAGATTAAATAAATGTTAGTTGTGTGTGATTTGTTTAATCAGATGAATAAAATATGAATACTTAATATGAATAAATATGAATGAATAAATTAAGTAATAAAATAATAAATAAATAAAATAATAGATAAAATAAATGCTAGTTTTGTGTGATTTGTACGTGAATAAAATATGAATAAATGAAACAGATAAATATGAATAGAATAAATATAAATAGATTAAATAAATATAAAATAAGTAATAAATAATAGATAATAAAATAAATATAAATATATTTATTTATTATTTATTTACAACATTTATATGCTGCCCTTCTCACTCCGAAGGGGACTCAAAGTGGCTTACAAGTTATATGTAAATACAATATATTATGTTATTAGTACCAAATATTAGTACCAAACATTCCCATATTGTACTATACTACTATATACCACTATATTGTACTATACCACTATCAAGCCGTATTTCTCCATGAACCTTCTAATGTCTATTAGAAGGTTCATGGAGAAATACAGCTTTAGATTCATAGAACCCTAGAGTTGGAAGGGACCCCCTCAAAGGCCACCCAGTCTAACCTCTTTCTGCCATGAAGGAGGACGCCACCCAATCCCTCCCACCAGAGGGCCAGGCATCCTCCAGAGAAAGGTGTGTGCCTGGCCCGCATACTGACCTTGCCTTGCCTTGCCTTGCAGGTACCTGACCTTCTTCTGCCCACTGAACCTCTTCTACAAATGCGTCAGCTTCCTGCCCATCAAGCTGGTCTTCGTGGCCATGAAGGAGGTGGTGCGGGTGCGCAAGATTGCCGCCGGCGTCCACCATGCCCACCACGCCTACCACCACGGATGGGTCGTCATGGTCATAATCGGCTTTGTCAAAGGTGCCCACCGTTGGATCTCATGCGCCACCCCATGATCTTTTCTTTTTTTGAACTTTTAAAATTATTCATATTTTATTTATTATATTACTATTTATTATACTTTTATTTACTTATTTTAGTATTAAATTATTTATAATAATATAGTGGTATATGGGAACGTTTGGTACTAATATTGTGCTATGTTAATAATATAATATATTGTATTTACATATAACTTGTAAGCCACTCTGAGTCCCCTTCGGAGTGAGAAGGGCAGCATATAAATGTTGTAAATAAATAATAAATATATTAGGTTCTTGTGGGTTTTTCCGGGCTATAGGGCCATGTTCTAGAGGCATTTCTCCTGACGTTTCGCCTGCATCTATGGCAAGCATCCTCAGAGGTAGTGAGGTCTGTTGGAAGTAGGAAAAATGGGTTTATATATCTGTGGAATGACCAGGGTGAGACAAAGGACTTTTGTCTGCTGGGGCTAGCTGTGAATGTTTCAACTGATCACCTTGATCTGCATTCAATGGCTTGGAAGTGCCTGGGGGGAATCTTTTGTTGAAAGTGATTTTATGTGCCTGTTTGTTTCCCCTCTGTTGTTTTGCTGTTGTAATTTTTGAGTTTTTTAATACTGGTAGCCAAATTTTGTTCATTTTCATGGTCTCTTCCTTTCTGTTGAAATTGTCCACATGCTTGTGGATTTCAGTGGCTTCTCTTTGTAGTCTGACATGGTGGTTGTGAGAGTGGTCCAGCACTTCTGTGTTCTCAAATAATATGCTGTGTCCAGGTTGTATTAAAAAACTCAAAAATTACAACAGCAAAACAACAGAGGGTAAACACAAGTACAGTTGGCGGGAATGAGAGACAGGGCCTTCTCAGTGGTGGCCCCTCGGCTATGGAACGCCCTTCCTAGGGAGATTAGATCGGCTTCCTCGCTCCTATCATTCCGGAAGAATCTTAAGATTTGAGCGGGCATTTGAAAATACAGAGTAACGGATATAATAACGGAATAACTACCGTATATACTCGAGTATAAGCCGACCCGAATATAAGCCGAGACACCTAATTTGACCTCAAAAAACTAGGAAAATGTATTGACTCGAGTATAAGCCGAGGGTGGGAAATGCAGCCGCGAATGGCAAATTTCAAAATAAAAATGGATACCAATAAAATTACATTAATTGAGGCATCAGTAGGTAAAATGTTTTCAATATTTACATAAAGCTCTAATATAAAATAAGACTTTCCAATTCTGATTAAACCATCATTCTAACCTTCTTCAATGCAAATGTGCTTACGTATCCTTCCAATAGAGTAAAATAATAAATGTAATAATAAAGATAACAATAGAGTAAAATAATAAATGTAATAATAAAGATAACAATAGAGTAAAATAATAAATATTATAACAATACGAAGTAGAGTAAAACAATAAATGTAATAATTGAGAAAAATAATAACTAAAATAACAGTAACAATAGAGTATAATAATAATAAATAGAGTAAAATAATAAATGTAATAATAAAATCAATAATAGAGTAAAATAATAAATATAACTCACTAGAGGAAGCATATCAATTAGTTTAGGGACTGCTTGGCTATCTGTCAGGAGAGTTTTGATGGTGCCCTTCTGCCTTGAAGGTAATGGGACTAGATGGCCCTTGGGAGTCCCCTCCAACTCACTAGGGGAAGCATATCAATTAGTTTAGAGACTGCTTTGCCATCTCTCAGGAGAGTTTTGATGGTGCCTTTCTGCCTGGAAGAAAGTGGTAGGACTAGATGGCCCTCGAACCATCTTTTTATCGCTTACACATGCCTAACGTACAGTATGTGCTTCCTGTTTCTGCAGGGTCCGGTGTGGCCTTAATGTCCAACTTTGAGCAGCTGCTGCGCGGCGTTTGGAAGCCGGAGACCAATGAGCTCCTCCATATGACGTTGTGAGTTTTTTCCCTCCTTTTGGGGGGCAACATGAGGCCATCCAAACCATTTTGGGTCTCAGTCCTCTATGGACCTAAGAGGCCATTGCCTAAGAGTAACATTGCCCAGCCCAGTTTGTCAATGGGATGGGAGGAACACAGCCTCTTAGAGTTGGGAAGGGACCTCCAAAGGCCATCTAGCCCACCCTGCCCTCATCTCTCTCTCTCTCTCTCTCTTTCTCTCTCTCCCTGTTTCTGCAGCCCTTCCAAAGCCAGCCTCTACGGCGCCCTGCTCTTTACCCTCCAACAGACCCACTGGTTGCCCGTCTCCAAGCCCACCCTCCTCTTCTCCTTCACCCTCTTCATGATGGTCTGCAAGGTGAGCAATGGGCGGAGCCTGCATGAAGGCAGAAGAAAGGGGGTTGGACTGCATGGCCTTTGGGGGTGTCTTCCAACTATTATGATCAACATCATTATTATTAATGTTGAGGCTGGATCGCCATCTGTCAGAGGTGATTTGATTGTGCTCTTCCTGTATGAAGGCAGAAGAAAAGAAGTTGGATTGGATGACCTTTAAAGGTCTCTTCTAATTCTATTATTATTATTATTATTATTATTATTATTATTATTATTATTCAGAGATTGGATGGCCCATGCGGGTCTTCCAACTCTATCATCATCATTAAAATTAATTGAGGCTAGATGGCCATCTGTAGGGGGCCTTTGATTGTGATTTTCCTGTGTGAAGGCAGGGTTGGACTAGATGACACTTGGGATCTCTTCCAACTCTATTATTATTGTTGTTGTTGTTATAGTCGCTTCAGGTGTGAGGGAACAGGCCATCTGTAAGGATGGCCCAGGGGACTCCTGGACGTTTTGATGTTTTACCATCCTTGTGGGAGGCTTCTGACGAGGGAGCTCATCTGCACTTTCCCCCAGATTTGAACCTCTGACCTGTCAGTCTTCAGTCCAGCCACCAGGGGCTCCATATTATATCCATGTTCAGAAGACAGCCTCCTTTGTCACAGCACCCAATATGCAAAAGGATTCTCCCAGTGAGGTTGCAATTGTTGTATCTTTCTGCTATTAACAAAATACCGATTTTCTTGGGCATTTTCCTGTTAATGTAGCAAAAAAGTTTGTAAAATGAATTATATAAAGTAATGGCAGAAGCAGGTTGGACTAGATGGCTTTGGTGCTCACTTCCAACTCTATTTATTGTTTTGTTATTGCTTATCATTAAGCAGAGACTGGATGGCCATCTGTCAGAGTTGTGGTGCTTTGATTGTGCTTTTCCTGCCTGAAGGCAGAAGGAGGTTGGACTAGATGGCTTGTGTGGTCTCTACCAATTATTATTATTATTATTATTATTATTATTATTATTACTACTAGCCATCCCCTGCCACGCGTTGCTGTGGCCCACATGGGGGTTCTGTGTGGGAAGTTTGGCCCAATTCTATCGTTGGTGGGGTTTGGAATGCTCTGTGATTGTAGGTGAACTATAAATCCCAGCAACTACAACTCCCAAATGTCAAGATTGTATTTCCCCCAAACTCCACCAGTGTTCACATTTGGGCATATTGAGTATTCGTGTAGAGTTTGGTCCAGATCCATCATTGTTTGAGTCCACAGTGATCTCTGGATGTAGGTGAACTACAACTCCAAAACCAAAGGACACTGCCCACCAAACCCTTCCAGTATTTTCTGTTGTTCATGGGAGAACTGTGTGCCAAGTTTGGTTCAATTCCATCGTTGGTGGGGTTCAGAATGCTCTTTGCTTGTAGGTGAACTATAAATCCCAGCAACTACAACTCCCAAATGACAAAATCAATTTTTTTTGAGTGAAGGACATACATTGGGTTGTTAGGTGTCTTGTGTCCAAATTTGGTGTCAATTCGTCCAGTGGTTTTTGAGTTCTGTTAATCCCACAAACGAACATTACATTTTTATTTATATAAATTATTATTATTGTTGTTGTTGTTGTTGTTGTTGTTGTTGTTGTTGTTCAGAGGTTGGATGGCCCATGTGGACTCTTCCAACTGTCATCATCATCATCAATATTGAAGCTGGATGGCCATCTGTCAGGAGGGCTTTGATTGTGCTTTTTATTATTATTACTAGATAGGGCAGGTTGCAAATATGGTAATACTATTATTATTACTATTATTATTATTATTATTATTATTATTATTATTACTACTACCCACTCTGGTGTTCATGGGGGTTCTGTGTGGGAGGTTTGGCCCAATTCTATCGTTGGTGGGGTTCAGAATGCTCTGTGATTGTAGGTGAACTATAAATCCCAGCAACTACAACTCCCAAATGTCAAGATTCTATTTCCCCCAAACTCCACCAGTGTTCACATTTGGGCATATTGAGTATTTGTGTAGAGTTTGATCCAGATTCATCATTGTTTGAGTCCACAGTGATCTCTGGATGTAGGTGAACTAGTGAACTACAACTCCAAAACCAAAGGACACTGCCCACCAAACCCTTCCAGTATTTTCTGTTGGTCATGGGAGATCTGTGTGCCAAGTTTGGTTCAATTCCATCGCTGGTGGGAGTCAGAATGCTCTTTGATTGTAGGTGAACTATAAATCCCAGCAACTACAACTCCCAAATGACAAAATCAATTTTTTTGAGTGAAGGACATTGGGTTGTTAGGTGTCTTGTGTCCAAATTTGGTGTCAATTCGTCCAATGGTTTTTGAGTTCTGTTAATCCCACAAACGAACATTACATTTTTATTTATATAAATTATTATTATTGTTGTTGTTGTTGTTGTTGTTGTTGTTGTTGTTCAGAGGTTGGATGGCCCATGTGGACTCTTCCAACTGTCATCATCATCATCAATATTGAAGCTGGATGGCCATCTGTCAGGAGGGCTTTGATTGTGCTTTTCCTGCATGAAGGCAGAAGGGGGCAGAACTAGATGGTCCTTGGGGTCTCTTCCTACTCTATTATTATTATTATTATTATTATTATTATTATTATTATTATTCAGAGGTTGGATGGCCCATGTGGACTCTTCCAACTGTCATCATCATCATCAATATTGAAGCTGGATGGCCATCTGTCAGGAGGGCTTTGATTGTGCTTTTCCTGCATGAAGGCAGAAGGGGGCAGAACTAGATGGTCCTTGGGGTCTCTTCCTACTCTATTATTATTATTATTATTATTATTATTATTATTATTATTATTATTATTCAGAGGTTGGATGGCCCATGTGGACTCTTCCAACTGTCATCATCATCATCATCAATATTGAAGCTGGATGGCCATCTGTCAGGAGGGCTTTGATTGTGCTTTTCCTGCATGAAGGCAGAAGGGGGCAGAACTAGATGGTCCTTGGGGTCTCTTCCTACTCTATTATTATTATTATTATTATTATTATTATTATGAGGTTGGATGGCCGCTCTTGATATCTTTGCCCTTTCTTGCATCATTCGAAGTCTGGCCTGATACTCTTTGGAGGTTTCTTCATGCAGTTCTTGCTACCTTCCCTGCCTGGTAGGAGGAGGTTGGACTAGATGCCCTTTGCTGGGCTCACGACGGGGCTTTTCTTTTCTTGCAGGTCTTCATGACGGCCACGCACTCGCATGGCTCCCCATTTGCCCTGGTGGAAGGCGCCCTCTGCTCCGTCCTCTTTGGCTCGGCGGCCCCCGCCCACGAAGACCCCCACCAGCACCACCATGAGCCCAGTCAACATGCCCAGCACGAGCCACCAGCCAAGTCCCGGGAGGAGCTGAACGAGGGCACCCGCAAGCGCAAGGCCAAGAAGGCCGAATGAGGAAGACCCTTTGCCCAGGAAGACCCCCCTCCAAAAAAAGCAAAAAACACCCATCCCCGGATGGGGCTATGACTCCTCACATTGTATGGAAATGAGATGCCCAAAGAGCCCTCATTATTATTATTATTATTATTATTATTATTATTATTATTATTATTATTATTATTATTATTGGATGCCCTTGAAATGAGATACTCAAAGAGCCTCCCTTATTAATATTTAAAATAATAATAATAATAATAATAATAATAATAATAATAATATCATCTCTCCTGGAACAGAGAAGTAGAGATTTCTGCTTCTAGGGAGGTTTTGAAGCAGAGTGATGGCCATCTGTCGGGAGGGATTGGATGGTGTTTTCCCTTGAGGCCTCCCCTGACTTCTATGATACATCTATCACCTCTCTCTCTGGAATCCTATTGATCATATCTATGGCCATCTGTTGGGAGGGCTCGGATGGGTTCTCCTTGCCTGGCTGGTTAACCCTGAGGGTGCCCCCCGACTCTGAGGGTGGTCCCCGAAACTGAGAGTGGCCCCTGGCCATCTGTCAGGGGTGCTTTGAATGCAATTTTCCTGCTTCTTGGCAGAAAGGGGTTGGACTGGATGGCCCACGAGGTCTCTTCCAACTCAATAATTCAAGGGTTTCTGAGCATGCCCAGAGTGCCCAGATGCTCTGAGACCCAACAATAGCCACTGGAGGGAGGGGGCTTCCAACTACTGACCGCCTATTTATTTATATTTATAGCCCCCTCCCCACTTCTGCCTCGCTCCAACCCTGATCCTCAGGCAAAACTCTGATTCCCAAAATAATAAAGGCATCTGGGGAAACTTTCCCCTTGTGTTGGATTTTGCTTTCTTTTTTCCTTTGGTGGGGAGGGGTCTAGATGTCCCTCTGTCAGGAGGGATCAGATGGTGTCCTCCTTGAGTAGGCAATGCAGAATGGCGAAAACGAACAACATGAATTTCAACGAGGACAAATGTAAGATACGACACTGAGATTTAGGCAGAAAAGATGAAATGCAAAGAGACAGGTTGGGTGATGCCTGGCTCAACAGCAGAGATACAAGTGAGAAAGATCTTGGAATCTTTGTGGGGAACAAGCTGAACATGAGCCAAGGATGAGATGCAGCAGCTCAAAAAATCCAGTGGGAAACTAGGTTGCATCCAAAGGAGTCTCGTGTCCAGATCGAGGGAAGCCCTGGTGCTGCTCCATTCCACTTTGGTCAGACCTCTTTACCTGGAACCACACTGTGTCCAATTCTGGGCAAAGCAGTTTAAAATAGATATTGATTCTATGTATTGTTGAAGGCTTTCATGGCCGGAATCACTAGGTTGTTGTAGGTTTTTCCGGGCTATATGGCCATGTTCTAGAGGCATTTTCTCCTGATGTTTCGCCTGCATCTATGGCAAGCATCCTCAGAGGTAGTGAGGTCTGTTGGAAGTAGGAAAAAGGGTTTATATATCTGTGGAATGACCAGGGTGGGACAAAGGACTTTTGTCTGCTGGAGCTAGGTGTGAATGTTTCAACTGACCACCTTGATTAGCATTTAATGGCTTGGAAGTGCCGGGGGGAATCTTTTGTTGAGAGTGATTTGATGTGCCTGATTGTTTACTCTCTGTTGTTTTGCTGTTGTAATTTTTGAGTTTTTTAATACTGGTAGCCAGATTTTGTTCATTTTCATGGTTTCCTCCTTTCTGTTGAAATTGTCCACATGCTTGTGGATTTCAATGGCTTCTCTGTGTAGTCTGACATGGTGGTTGTGAGAGTGGTCCAGCATTTCTGTGTTCTCAAATAATATGCTGTGTCCAGGTTGGTTCATCAGGTGCTCTGTTGCAATCCAGAGCAGGAAACGAGGCCCTAAGATAACTATCCACCACACTTGACTGTGAAAAAACAATCCTTTTTTATTGAAGAAAAATGGTTACAAAATAAAGGAAAAATGCAAAGTCAAAAGCCACAGCAAAATCAGCAAACATGAATTTCCATGAACAAGATCAAAACCCAAAGCCACACTGTAAAATACTGGAACCTGTTAGCAATCCACTAACCGTACTTGGTGTCCTAGAAATCTTTCAAGACGATGGCCAGGGAAACCGGGAGAACTGCCAAGCTCTTCATCAATCTAAAACGATGCCTGAACTGAGAAAGTCAGCCCGGCGGAAGGCACTTAAAGCCAAGGAATTGGTTTCTTGAAACGCCTCCCTGCTTTGAAGCCGTTGTTTGTATTTCTTTTAATCTGGAAGACCTTCGCAAGCTGACTGATTTACTCCTATCTTGCCAGAACTGGCCCCTTCTATTCTCATTAAGGTTCCCAGGTGCAGAAGGGAGTGAAAGGTCATGGCTTCCCTCTGAAACATTCTCATGAACACTGGTACTTTCATTTTCCAAATCTACAGAAGTTTCTTCCTCACTAATTTCAGGAGCATTGACATCAAGAAGTACATTTTCATTAGCATCAGGAAGTACATTTTCATTAGCATCAGTAAATATATTTTCATTAGCATCAGGAGATACAAACAGAGAATCAGGTTCAAGTTCAAACTCAGGCTGAACCCCAACATGCTCTGCTATTGATTCTCATCTGGAAGGTGTCTAAAAGGAGCCAATAGTCCCTCAGAGGAGTGTCTTAAAGAACTGGGCATGTTTAGCCTGCAGAAGAGAAGGTGGAGATGTGTTGTGACTCAGCTTGACTCTGAGCTCTTTGGGCCTGAAGCTGAGCTCTTTGGGCCTTCTGAGCCAGAATTCCTATAGGATGATGATGAGGAGGATGGGTTACAGATTTCTGTACATGCTTCAGACAGGGCTGACGGTGGGGCTGCTGAAGGAGAAACAGCAAGTCAGTCCCCAGGGGAAAGGAATGTGAGACTGATAATGAGAGTGAATTCCCACACGGCCAGGTGGAGACGTCTTTTCCTCCCCCACAGTGATCTGGTCCAGCTGGACCAAGATAAGGGGTTACATAGCCTTGAAGATAATAAATTAATGAGCAGGCAAGATCGTCTGCAATTAAGGCTCCGGAAAAGCACTCGCTTGGCTAGCAAGCGAGAAGCCAAGGGTGCCAAAGGTCAACGCAATGCGTTCATGTCTGCAAAGCTACGGTGATCCAGGCGACGGTCATCTCAAGACTGGACTACTGTAACGCCCTCTACATTGGCCTTCCTCTGTTGGTGATCCGGAAGTTCAAGTTGGTACAAAATGCAGCTGCTCGGCTTCTTGCGAGAATTCCGATGAGATGCCACATAACACCAATCTTACTACAGCTGCATTGGTTACCAATTGAGCACCGGATCACTTTCAAAGTGATGGTACTCACCTTTAAGGCCTTGCATGGTCTGGGGCCGATGTACCTGAGGGACCCCCTATCAACCCCAGAGATCCCTCCGTTCTGAGGACCAAGATCTATTGGAAATTCCCAGTGTCAAGACCTTGCGTCTAACAGCAACCAGACGCAGAGCCTTTACAGCAGTGGCACCATCACTCTGGAATACTCTGCCACCTGAAGTCCATGCCTTGTGGGACTTATCAGCTTTCCGTAGGGCATGTAAGACATACCTGTTTCAACAGGCCTTTGATTTTTGATATTGCTGTTTTTAAATTGTTTTAAAATTGTGTTAGATTTTAGTCATTCTTGTAAGCCGCTCCGAGCCCCAGGGGAGTGGCGGCATATAAGTTCGAATAATAAATAAATAAATAAAGGGTATTTAGCCTTGTAGCTGACAAGCAGGGGTTGTCAGTCCAACGTAGCTCTTCCCATGCAAACTTCTGTGGATTAACTTTGGCTTTTAGCAGCACGCTTCTGGCTTCCTGAGTCTGGAATTTGGGCCTTGTTTTCAACTGTTTACCATGCTAAAGGATTATGCTTCATGTTTTTACCTTTGGATCTTGGGAACTTTGTCTTTGCATTTAAGCCTTTGTCCTGCCTATGGAACTTTTGCATTTCTTATACTTTGTTTTGATTTTGCCTTTTTCTCAATAAACTACCAAACCTACAGCTTTGGTGTGGTGGTGTCTGGAGCAAGGTGAAAGCCACCCTGAGTTGCAACAAGATGAGACATGGGAGGAGCCATGTATCAATATGTGAAAGGGTGCCATAAGGAAGAGGGAGCAGGCTTCCTTTCTGCAGCCCTGGAAACTAGGATTCAATGGAGCCATGGGTTCAAATAACAGGGAAGGAGATTCCACCTGAACATGACTGTAAGGAGACCTGTTCAGTAGTAGAACTCTTTGCCTTTGAGTCCACTGGAAGCTCCTTTCTTGGAGGCTTTGAAGCAGAGGCTGGATGGCCATCTGTTAGGGGAGGGAGCTGTCGCAACTTAGGATAGGTTCATCTTGCTCAAAGCACCACGCCACACCAAGGCTGAAGGTTTTGTAGTTTATTGAAAAAAAAGCAAAGTCTTTAACATAGAAGTAAGGTTTCAAAAGTTCAATGGCAAAAGCAGAGTCTTAAATGCAAAGGCAAAGTTTCCAAAGTTCAATGGCAAACAACATGAAGAATAATCCAAAGGCATTGATCAAACAAAATTCCATGGCAGCATTACAGAGTCCCAAGGAGCCAAGATCACGTCAAAGTCTCAAGAAGCCAAAAGTATTGCCCAAAAGCCAAGGCAATCCAGAGACGTTACCAGGGTGTTTGCCGAAGTTGCACTGACAAAGAGTTGATTTCAAACAGCTCGTTTAATATACTTTCCCAGCATGAAAGCATTCCTTTGACCTCTAACCTCTCGTTAACAAGCCTCGCACTGTGGCAAACCCTGAATTGCAAGCGATCCTCCCTATCTAAATCTGCAGAGCCTTCAAGGTCGAATAACCCATTACCCTGGGACTGGGAATCGGCAGCCTGAGAATCAGCCAGTAAAGGTGGTCCCAGTGGTGATCGGCACACTGGGTGCAGTGCCTAAAGACCTTGGCCTGCACTTAAACACAATCGGCGCTGACAAAATTACCATCTGCCAGCTGCAAAAGGCCACCTTACTGGGATCTGCATGCATTATTCGCCGATACATCACACAGTCCTAGACACTTGGGAAATGTCCGACGTGTGATCCAATACAACAGCCAGCAGAGTGTCTGCTGCGGACTCATCTTGTTGTGTTTCAGATAATAATAATAATTTCATAACTGTGTGGTTTTCTAGAATTGTATATTTCTGCCACTTCTGTGATTATTCATTTGTATTTTGATTCTTTAGCCCACTTGTCAATGGATGTCCAGAATCAGCAGCATCCACTGTAGTCCTTTTTATCCTGGGTGTCAACCAAGCCAGTATAGACTTCGTTTTGGTTTGCTTCTCCATAGTGCTAATGGGTTAGGTGCTCTTAGTTCCACTCCTCAGCTGAGACCTCTCTGGCTTGGTTGGACCTGCTGGTAGTTACACTACCACCAGCACAGCTCTCAGCATCCTTGGAGCAGTTAAGCCCCCCACCACGACTAGGTGGCACCCATCGGGGTGGGAAATGAACACACAAAAATATTGTGGGACTTTCGAATCCAGACTGACAAAAGTTTTGGAACACAACACACCAGACATCACGATTGTGGAAAAGAAAAATGTTTGGATTATTGATATTGCCCTACCAGGTGACATCGAGGAAAAACAACAGGAAAAACTCAGCCATTATCAGAACCTCAAAATCGAACTGCAAAGGCTCTGGCATAAACCAGTACAGGTGGTCCCAGAGGTCATCGGCACAGTGGGTGCCATGCCAAAAGATCTCAGCAGGCATCTGGAAACCATAAACATTGACAAAATCATGATCTGTCAACTGCAAAAGACCACCTGACTTAGATCTGCACGCATCATTCGAAAATACATCACACAGTCCTAGACGCTTGAGAAGTGTTCGACCTGTAATTTTGTGATACGAAATCCAGCATATAGATCTCATTTGCTATGACATACTGTGTTTTTGTGTCAGTAAAATAATAATAATAATAATAATAATAATAATAATACTAATATAGGACCAGGTAAAAATAACAATAGAGAGTCAGTGGAGTTACTAATAATAACAGTAACAAATTCATTTACAGTAAATGTACACTGGACAAGAAGGGCTCGAAGTGTCAAGCATGGTCCTGATCCTGCATCCTGATACAAATGTCAAGTCCTGATCCTTTAAACTCAGTGTGCCAGGTGTGGTCCCGATTCTGCATCCCCAACCATGATAGCACCGGGTCTGAGTCAGGCTCAGTCCACTTGTGTGTAGTGCATGCTTTCTTTAGCACACTGACATGAAAGACTGACATTTTCATCGGCTTGCAACAGCACTGCCCCATATGCTGCTTCTGAAGCATCGCACTGTACAACAAACGGCTTATCCATTTGGGTGTGCGTCAGGATGGGCTGGCTAGTGAATTTGAATTTTAACTCTTCAAAAGCCTTTTGGCACTCAGGGGTCCACATTAGCTTTGCCCCAGGGGCCTTTATCTTTTTGGTCTCCCCCATTCCCTTGGTTTTTAGCAATTCGGTTATGGGGAGTGCAACTTTTGCATAGTCTAAACAAATGGTGGGCAAGCCATCAGGGTTGCTCCAATCGGTAGCGAACCCTACCCAACCTTGGACTGAGATAGCGATGGACTTTATTATTATTATTTCGGTTACTTCTACCCTGCCCTTCTCACCCCGGAGGGGACTCAGGGCAGCTTACAAAGGCACAATTTGATGCCGGCATCACATAACAGTAGTATAAAACAATATAGCAGCAATTAATAGTTAACAAACAGTTCCTGCATTACAACAATAAAACCAATACAAACCAATTACACCTCATTAATGGTCAACGTTTGCCATCTCATAGTCCAATTTCCAATTCCACTTTGTCAGTCCTGTCAGTCCTAGTCGTCTGATTGTCCTTATCTAGTTGTCAGATTACCCAAAGGCCTGGTCCCACAACAATGTCTTTAATTTCCTCCTGAAGGAGAGGAGGGATGTTGATGACCTAATTTCCCCCGGGAGTGAATTCCACAGGTGAGGGGCCACCACTGAGAAGCCCCTGCTCCTTGTCCCCACCAACCTCACTTGTGATAGTGGTGGGGTCAAGAGCAGGGCCTCCCCAGATGATCTCAAACTCCGGGGTGGGACGTAGGAGATGCGTTCAGACAGATACGCTGGACTGGAACCGCATAGGGTTTTGTAGGTCAAAACCAGCACCTTGAATTGTGCTCGGAACTGAACCGGCAGCCAGTGGAGCTGACACAGCAGGGGGGTGGTGTGCTCCCTGTATGACGCTCCGGTGAGTAATCTGGCTGCCGCTTGCTGGACCAGTTGAAGTTTCCGAACAGTCTTCAAGGGCAACCCCACGTAGAGTGCATTGCAGTAGTCTATTTGGGATGTAACAATAGCATGGACCACTGTGGCCAGATCAGACTTCCCAAGGTACGGGCGCAACTGGTGCACAAGTTTTAATTGTGCAAAAGCTCTCCCAGCCACCGCCTGGGGTTCCAGGCTCAGCAATGAGTCCAGGATCACTCCCAAGCTGCGAACCTGCATCTTCAGGGAGAGTGTAACCTACGTGGACCTACGTGATAGTAATGGTCATAACACTATTTGGACTGTGATAGATTTATTCTCCAAACAGGCACACTTTATACCTCTCAAAAGGCTCCCCTCAGCCCTGGAGCTTGCCAGGTTGTTCATACACCATGTCTTCAGGTTGCATGGGTGCCCTCAGAGGATTATAACAGACAGAGGCACTCAATTTACGTCACGATTCTGGAGGTCCTTTCTAGCTGTGCTGGGGACAGAGAGAGCTTTGAGCACAGCGTTTCACCCTGAAACTGATGGGGCAACCGAGCGGGTTCAAAAGACTCTGCAGCAGTTCCTGAGGTGCTATTCCACATATCAACAAGACCAATGGGTCTCCCTATTGGATGTGGCGGAATATTGCTACAAAAATACAGATCATTTGTCAACGGGAATTTCCCCTTTTAAGACAGTGGGGGGCAGGGACTTTCCCCCGTTCCTGGGGCTCAACCCACAGACTTCGGGAGAGGGATCCCCAAATGAGTGGGGTGTCAAAATAGCTGCGTCGTGGCTGCAGATCAAGGAGGCTTTGGATCTGGCAAAAAGAGACTATAAAAATTTGCTGACAAGAAGAGAGCCATTCAGCCAGACTTTAAAGTGGGGGACCTGGTATACCTGTCCAGAGGCGGCCCTAGGTAATTTTCAACGGTAAGCAAACAGTATTTTGTCCTTTGCTGAACGTAGCATTTGTTGGATTTTCTTGGTGGGTTTGTAGATTGTTTGTACGTTGTGTTTCCTCATCAGCTTCCCTATGCGGTCAGTGGTTCCCTTGATGTATGGCAGGAACACTTTTCCTCTGGGTGGATCTTCATCTTTACTCTCGTGGCTTGTTCTTGGTCTTGCAGCCCTAACCCATCTAAAACACAGACATGTGCCTTTCATCTCAAGAACAGACAAGCATCCCGAGCTCTGAAGATCACCTGGGGAAGGAATCCCACTGGAGCATTGCAGCGCACCCAAATACCTGGGAGTCACTCTGGACCGTGCTCTGACCTACAAGAAGCACTGCCTGAACATCAAGCAAAAAGTGGGTGCTAGAAACAATATCATACGAAAGCAGACTGGCACAACCTGGGGATCACAACCAGATACAGTGAAGACATCTGCCCTTGCGCTGTGCTACTCTGCTGCTGAGTATGCATGCCCAGTGTGGAACACATCTCACCACGCTAAAACAGTGGATGTGGCTCTTAATGAGACATGCCGCATTATCACGGGGTGTCTGCGCCTACACCACTGGAGAAATTACACTGCTTAGCAGGTATTGCACCACCTGACATCCGCCGGAAGTAGCAGCCAATAGTGAAAGGACCAAGGCAGAGACATCTCCAGCTCATCCCCTGTTTGGGTATCAGCCAGCACGTGAAAAGACTTAAATCTAGACATAGTTTTCTAAGATCTACAGAGACACTGGCTGGAACACCTCAGCAAGCGAGAGTCCAAAAGTGGCAGGCTCAAACCCAGCACTTCAACCAATGGCTGATACCAAATGAGAGACTCCCCCTGGGCACACAGAAGACTGGGCGACTTGGAAGGCGCTGAACAGACTGCGCTCTGGCACCACGAGATGCAGAGCCAACTGCAAGAAATGGGGCCACACAGTAGAGTCCATAACATGCGAGTGTGGAGAAGAGCAACACAGCACTGCCACATGCACAATGGAGGACCTTCTTGCAGCAACACCGGAAGCACTCCAAGTGGCCAGATACTGGTCAAAGGACATTTAACCAGCTACCAAACTCACAAGTTGTGTATTTTTCTGTCTGTTTGCTTTGCTCTGTTAGAAATGTAATATAATGGAATGGTTTCTCTGACACGACAAATAAATAAATAAAGCTTTTCTGATGTCTGAGGTGGAGTCTCCATTGGCCTGGAGAGCCCAGTTGAGGTGGTTCAGTTCATCTTGGAGGAGGTGGGGTTCGCAGATTCTTTTTGCACCGTCTGCCAAGGCTTTAATGGTGCTTCTTTTTTGACTTGGGTGATGGTTGGAGTTTTGATGTAGATATCTATCTGTGTGTGTAGTAACGCTGTACTCGGTTTCCCATGGGGCATTACAGCGCGCGGAGGCATGGAATGCGGGTGATTGCGCCGCGGTGCCTGATGGGGATGGTAGTAAATACAGCAAGCGTTCCAGGGGTGACGTCACTCCAAAATGGCGGCGGCGGAGGAGTTTCCGGTCCCGGCGGGGTTGTACTTCCGGTTACTGCTTGTCTTCCTGCCGCTTGCCCTTCCAGCTATCATGGTCTTCCAAGCCGGGCGCTGCTTCCTCCGCCTCCGGGCCCTCTCCCTGTCCGCCCGGGCCCCCGCCAGGTGCTACGCAGAGGCCGCCGCCCCTGCCTCCGCTTCCCAGGCCCAGATGGCCTTCACCTTCGCCTCGCCCTCACAGGTCAGGACGGGGTTGCTGAAGGGAGCAAGATGGCGGCCAGGCAAGGAGGGGGCACATCCGGGCCACTCGCCAGCGGGACCTTGCCGCAAGATAGGCACCCCAGGGGCAGGAGGGAGGGCGATCAGAACATTATAGGCCTGGGCCAATTTGGGCCTTCCCTCCTTCCTTCCAGGTGTTTTGGACTCCAACTCCCACCATTCCTCACAGCCTCAAGCCCTTGCTTTTTCCCCCTCAGTCTGAGGCTGAGAGGAATGGTGGGAATTGGAGTCCAAAACACCTGGAAGGAGGGAGGGAAGGACCAAGCTGGCCCAGGCCTGTTGCAGAATAATTATATGTAGTAACTAGCCGTCTCCTGCCACGCGATGCTGTGGCCCGCATGGGGTTTCTGTGTGGGAGGTTTGGCCCAATTCTATCGTTGGTGGGGTTCAGAATGCTCTGTGATTGTAGGTGAACTATAAATCCCAACAACTACAACTCCCGAATGTCCAGATTCTATTTTCCCCAAACTCTACAAGTGTTCACATTTGGGCATATTGAGTATTCCTGTAGAGTTTGGTCCTGATCCATCATTGTTTGAGTCCACAGTGACCTCTGGATGTAGGTGAACTACAACTCCCAAACTCAAGGTCAGTGCCCACCAAACCCTTCCAGTATTTTCTGTTGGTCATGGGAGAACTGTGTGCCAAGTGTGGTTCAATTCCATTGTTAGTGGGGTTCAGAATCCTCTTTGATTGTAGGTGAACTATAAATCCCAGCAACAACTCGCAAATGACAATTTTTTTGAGTGAAGGACATACATTGGGTTGTTACAACTCCCAAACTCAAGGTCAGTGCCCACCAAACCCTTCCAGTATTTTCTGTTGGTCATGGGAGAACTGTGCCAAGTGTGGTTCAATTCCATTGTTAGTGGGGTTCAGAATCCTCTTTGGTTGTAGGTGAACTATAAATCCCAGCAACAACTCGCAAATGACAAAAAAATTTTGAGTGAAAGACATACATTGGGTTGTTAGGTGTCTTGTGTCCAAATTTGGTGTCAATTCGTCCAGTGGTTTTTTAGTTATGCTAATCCCACAAACAAACATTACATTTTTATTTATATAGACTAGCCGTCCCCTGCCATGCGTTGCTGTGGCCCACATGGGGGTGCTGCGTTGGAGGTTTGGCCCAATTCTATCGTTGGTGGGATTCAGAATGCTCTGTGGTTGTAGGTGAACTACAACTCCCAAGTGTTAAGGTTATTTTCCCCAAACTCCACCAGTGTTCACATTTGGGCATATTGAGTATTCGTGTAGAGTTTGGTCCAGATCCATCATTGCTTGAGTCCACACTGCTCTCTGGATGTAGGTGAACTACAACTCCAAAACCAAAGGACACTGCCCACCAAACCCTTCCAGTATTTTCTGTTGGTCATGGGAGAACTGTGTGCCAAGTTTGGTTCAATTCCATCGTTGGTGGGGTTCAGAATGCTCTTTGATTGTAGGTGAACTATAAAGCCCAGCAACTACAACTCCCAAATGACAAAATCATTTTTTTGAGTGAAGGACATACATTGGGTTGTTAGGTGTCTTGTGTCCAAATTTGGTGTCATTTCGCCCAGTGGTTTATGAGTTCTGTTAATTTCACAAATGAACACTACATTTTTATTTATATAGACTAGCCATCCCCTGCCATGCGTTGCTGTGGCCCACATGGGGGTTCGGTGTGGATGGTTTTGCCCAATTCTATCGTTGGTGGGGTTCAGAATACTCTGTGATTGTAGGTGAACTATAAATCCCAGCAACTACAACTCCCAACATTACATTTTTATTTATATAGATAATATAGGATTGTTAGGGGAGAAACGTATTGGGGAAGGCAGAGAATAAGATGATGATAATAACAGCAACAGCTACTGCTTAAAGGTTTGGGGTTTTTTTGGTGTCAGGAGCGACTTGAGATTAACAATGGCGAAAGTATGATAATAATAATAATACACTTTATTTATAACCTGCCACCATCTCCCCAAAGGGGACTCAGGGCGGCTAACATGAGGCCAAGCCCAAAATAATACAACATAATAAACACACAATAGGAAAATACATCATAACAAAATATGAAATAACAAAATCAACAATATAAAACAGCATAGTAAAACCAGACACGGAGGGCGAGCCAAATGTATGAGGTAAAATGTTAAAACTCTGGGTGAGATAGGGATAAAAGTGCATTTGTAGGAGAGGAGCCCAACAGGGAGGAACCATGGGATTAATAATAATAATAATAATAATAATTTATTTATACCCCTCCACCATCTCCCCAATGGGGACTCGGAGTGGCTTACATGGGGCCAAGCCCGGACAACATATTACAGCAAAATAAAACCAAAACATAAACAACAAACAATGTCATCATCAAAATTACATAGAAAAAGAGAAAAAAATGACCATTTTAGGGGTGGGAAGTTGCTTGATTCTGAGGGCAGCTGTAGGCTAAGACAACCGGATGGGGTGAGTGGTCATTCTGCAAAAACACAACAGAAGAGCCAGGTTTTTAGGTCTTTCTTAAAACCATAGCTGGGACCCAATGCTGGTTGCACAATGCGGGTCAGAATGAGAGAAGCGAAAATGTTACATTTTTGAACGTGTTTGCATACGATATCTGGATAGCCTTAAGCCAGGGGTCCTCAAACTAAGGCCTGGGGGCCGGATATGGCCCTCCAAGGTCATTTACCCGGCTCTCGTTCAGGGTCAACCTAAGTCTGAAACGGCTTGAAAGCAAACAATAACAACAACAACAATCCTATCTCATCAGCCAAAAGCAGGCCCACACTTCCCATTGAAATACTAATGTGTTTATATTTGTTAAAATTGTTCTTCATTTTAATTATTGTATTGTTTTTAAGTGGTTTTTTGCACTACAAATAAGATATGTGCATTGTGCATAGGAATTCATTCATGTTTTTTCAAAGTATAATCCGGCCCTCCAACAGTTTGAGGGACTCTGACCTGGCCCTCTGTTTAAAAAGTTTGAGGACCCCTGCCTTAAGCTATCCAGACAGGCTGGACCGGGGGGGGGGGGGGGGGGGGTGACAGGCTGTTTCCTGTGTCTCCCCCCCTTTTTCTGGTGAACTATCTTGCCACGACTCTGTCGCACCTGCGTCTCCCACTCGCTGCGCTGTCTTGGCATTGGGTCCCAGCTATCATACTTTTGCCACAACACCAAAGTAATAATAATAATTATTTATGAAATAAATCAAGATTATGGCAATCAGACTGATTGATAACTGGCAATTAGAGGGAGAAAATGCGGAGGCCGTGACAAACTTTGTATTTCTAGGTGCAAAGATTATTGCAGATGCAGACTGCAGCCAGGAAATCAGAAGATGCTTACTTCTTGGGAGGAGAGTAATGACCAATCTCGATAAAATCGTGAAGAGTAGAGACATCGCACTGGCAAGGAAGGTCTGCATAGTAAAAGCAATGATATTCCCTGTAGTCACCTACGGATGTGAGAGCTGGACCATAAGGAAGGCTGAGTGAAGGAAGATAGATGCTTTTGAACTGTGGTGTTGGAGGAAAGTTCTGAGAGTGCCTTGGACCACCAGAAGATCCAACCAGTCCATACTTCAGGAAATAAAGCCCGACTGCTCATTAGAGGGAAAGATCGTAGAGGCAAAGATGAAGTCCTTTGGCTACATCATGAGAAGACAGGAAAGCTTAGAGAAGACAATTATGCTGGGAAAAATGGAAGAAAAAAGGAAGAGGGGCCGACCAAGGACAAGATGGATGGATGGCATCCTTGAAATGACCGGCTTGACCTTGAAGGAGTTGAGGGTGGTGACAGCCAACAGAGAGCTCTGGCGTGTGTTTCTTCATGAGGTCACGAAGAGTTGGAAGCGACTGAACGAATGAACAACAACAAATCCGGACAGGCTGGACTGGGGGGCCGACAGACTGTTTCCTGCCCCCCCCCCCTTTCTGGTGAGCTATCTTGCCATAACTCTGTCTCACCTGTGTCTCCCACTCGCTGCGCTGTCTTGTCATTGGGTCCCAGCTATCATACTTTTTCCACAACAACAACAACGTAATAATAATTATTTATCATTAGAATAAAGTAAACGATAATAATGTAATTTTTTTGTGCCAGGAGTGACTTGAGAAACTGCAAGTCTCATCTGGTGTGAGATAATTGGTTGTCTGCAAGGACATTGTCCTGATGTTTTGCCATCCTTGTAGGAAGCTTTCTCATATGTCACCACATGGGGAGCCTGAGCTGACAGAGGGAGCTCATCTGCGTTCTCCCCATATTTGAACCTGCGACCTGTCAGTCTTCAGTCTTGCTGGCACAAGGGTTTAAACCACTGTGCCACCGGGGGCTCTACTGCTTGAAGTGCAAAAGACAAAGAGGGAGTACCATAGAAATACAATGTAGAGGAGAAGAGAGAACTGGCAAAAGAAGGCTCTCCCTGGACAGTTCCTGGGAAAAATTGAGAGCAAATTTGACAAAGAAAAAACATGAATGTGACTCACAAGTGGAACTTTGAAAAAAAAAAATGGAGGGCCTGATTCTTGCAGCCTAAGAACAAGCCATTAGAACCAATGCCATCCAAGAGGGAACTCATTGGGGAATTCATATGATAATATAATAATATATAAGTATTGTATATTTTAGTTTCTTCCTTTTTTGAAAGCTCTAGCTTTAGTGCTTATAGTCTTGAGATTTGAATTGTATGTGGCATCCTTTTGAGCAATCTGCCAATCCTAGCAATTGAGAAAAAGAAACATAACAACAACAATAGAGACTCAAAGGGACTGTGAATGTTTTTTTTTTTTTAAGTACATTTTAAAACCAATATTTTAAAATAGAATTAAGCAATGTTTGGGGCTGGGCTAGAACTGGTCATTCTCAAAGGCTTGTTTGAGAGCCCCCGGTGGCGCAGTGGGTTAAACCCCTGTGCCGGCAGGACTGAAGATCGACAGGTCTCAGGTTCAAATCCAGGGAGAGGTGGATAAGCTCCCTCTATCAGCTCCAGTTCCCCATGCGGGGACATGAGAGAAGCCTCCCACAAGGATGATAAAAACATCAAATCATCCGGGCGTCCCCTGGACAACGTCCTTGCAGACGGCTAATTCTCTCACACCAGAAACGACTTGCAGTTTCTCAAGTCGCTCCTGACACGACAAAAAAAAAAGGCTTGTTGAAACCACCAGGTCTTTAAGGTCCTACGAAAGGAGGGGAGGGATGGGGCCTGTCTTATTTCCCTTGAAAGGGCGTTCCAGAGGCGGGGAGCCACCACTGAGAAAGCCCTCTCGTCCCCATCAACCGTACTTGTGACGGTGGTGGGAGCGAAAGGAGGGCCTCCCTGGAAGATCTTAGATTTTGCACTGGTTCATAGAAGGAAATGCAGTCGCGAAGATATGCGGGGCCTGAACTGTTTAGGGCTTTATAAGGTCATAACCTGCACCTTGAATTTGGCTCGGCAACTTATCGGCAGCCAATGAAACTGTTTTAATAGGGGCGTTGTATGCTCCCTATATTTTGCTCCTGTAAGGAGCCTGGCTGCTGCCCGTTGTACCAATTGACACTTCCAGGCCTTCTTCAAGGGCAGCTCCATGTAGAGGGCATTGCAGTAGTCCAGTCTGGATGTAACCAAGGCGTGGACCAAAACTCTGGATGATCTCTCCCAGCGGCTTCATGTAGATGTTAAACAACATGGGGGACGGTACTGAGCCCTGCGGGACCCCACAGAACAAAGGCTGTGGGGCCCAGCAGGTGTCCCCCAACAACACCTTCTGAGACTAACCCTCCAGGAAGGACTAGAGCCATTGCAAAACGGTGCCACCAAGCCCCTTAACCATGAGACGTCTCAGAAGGATACTGTGATCTACAGTATCGAAGGCCTCTGAGAGGCCCAGGAGAACCAACACTCCCCCTGTCAAATTCCCTATGCAGATCACCCACCAAGGAGACCAAAGCTGTTTCAGTTCCATGTCCCAGTCTGAAGCCAGACTGTGACAGGTCTAGATAATCAGTTTCTTCCAAGAACGCCTGGAATTGCGAGACCACATATTCCAAGAATCATAGAATCAAAGAGTTGGAAGAGACCTCATGGGCCATCCAGTCCAACCCCCTGCCAAGAAGCAGGAATATTGCATTCAAATCACCCCCGACAGATGGCCATCCAGCCTCTGTTTAAAAGCTTCCAAAGAAGGAGCCTCCACCACACTCCGGGGCAGAGAGTTCCACTGCTGAACGGCTCTCACAGTCAGGAAGTTCTTCCTCATGTTCAGATGGAATCTCCTCTCTTGTAGTTTGAAGCCATTGTTCCGCGTCCTAGTCTCCAGGGAAGCAGAAAACAAGCTTGCTCCCTCCTCCCTGTGACTTCCTCTCACATATTTATACATGGCTATCCTATCTCCTCTCAGCCTTCTCTTCTTCAGGCTAAACATGCCCAGCTCCTTAAGCCGTTCCTCATAGGGCTTGTTCTCCAGACCCTTGATCATTTTAGTCGCCCTCCTCTGGACACATTCCAGCTTGCCAATACCTCTCTTCAATTGTTGTGCCCAGAATTGGATACAATATTCCAGGTGTGGTCTAACCAAAGTAGAATAGAGACTTAATAAACATAAGCAAAATCTAAATAAAGACATTTATTTGAAATGTTCTTGTGGGTGAAACTCTAAAGGAGTAACATGTCTATCCATTTTAAATTTTAAACAGTGAACTAAGAGATAGCTGTATCAGTTAATCGGCAAAAGGATTTTGTGACTATTATTATTGTTATTGTTATTATTGTTGGAGGTGTGAGTGTGGAACCTCTACCCACATGAATATTATTGTTATTGTATTATTGTTAGAGGTGGGAATGTGCAACCTCCACCCACATTAATGTTGTTGTTGTTGTTAGAGGTGGGAATGTGGAACCTCCACTACATGGATATTATTATTACTATTATTATTATTATTATTATTCCCCTCCGCAGGTCTTCTACAACGCAGCCCCCGTGAAACAGGTGGATGTCCCCACGCTCAGCGGGGCCTTTGGCATCTTGGCCGCCCACGTCCCAACCCTGCAAGTCCTGAGGCCCGGTGTGGTGACTGTCTTTGCTGAGGACGGGGCCTCCACAAAGTACTTCGGTGGGTCTGCAGAGTGGGGCCAATGCCATGGAATGTACCGCTTTTACCACACATATTTTTCTTGAGATTAGCAAATGTTTGGGGCCAGGAAGTTACGTAATACACTTTAATATGTATCTTTTATAGAAATACATTTTAATATGTGTATTTATAGAATTTTTGCACCCCTATATGTAACCCACCTTGAGCCACAAGGAGGGGTGGGTAGAAATATAACTATTATTATTATTATTATTATTATTATTATTATTATTATTATTATTCTCATAGAGTCAGAAGGGACTCCAGGAGTCATCCAGTCCATCCCCATTCTGCCAAGCAGGAAGATAGCATTATTATTATTATTATTATTATTATTATTAATAATAATAATAATAATAATAATAATTGATATAATAAATTCTATTATTATTATATCTACCCTAGTATGTTCCTTAAATTCTTCTCCTTGCAGCTTTCCCTAAAATCCACTTTTGCTTTCCTTTCAATATATATGCAAAAAGCCAGCCTCCGTATATTTACAAACTTCTATTAATGTTTAACTTGAAGTCCGTTAGACAACTTGGCCATTTGTATATTTTCTAATACAGTGGGGGAAAAAGATTTAGTCAGATATCAATTGTACAAGTTCTCCCACTTAAAAAGATGAAGGAGGCCTGTAATTGACATCATAGGTAGACTTATGAGATACAACATGAGGGAAACCATCCAGAAAATCACATTGTCTGATTTTTATCGAATTTATTTGCAAATTATGGTGGAAAATAAATATTTGGTCCATAACAAAAGTTAATCTCAATTCTTTGTTATATATCCTTTATTGGCAATGACAGAGGTCAAATGTTTTCTGTAAGTCCTCACAAGGTTGGCACACACTGTTGCTGATATGTTGACCCGTTCCTCCATGCAGATCTCCTCAAGAGCAGTGATGTTTTGGGGTTGTCACTGGGCAACATGGACTTTCAACTCTCCCCAAAGGTTTTCTATAGGGTTGAGATCTGGAGACTGGCTAGGCCACTCCAGGACCTTGAAATGCTTCTTACGAAGCCACTCCTTCGTTGCCCTGGCGGTGTGCTTGGGATTACTGTCATGCTAAAAGACCCAGCCATGTTTCATCTTCAGTGCCCTTGCTGATGGAAGGAGGTTTGCACTCCAAATCTCACAATACATGGTCCCATTCATTTTTTCATGTATACGGATCGGTTGCCCTGGTCCCTTTGCAGAGAAACAGCCCCAAAGCATGATGTTGCCACCCCCATGCTTCACAGTAGGGATGGTTTTCTTTGGATGCAACTCAGCATTCTTTCTCCTCCAAACACGACGAGTTGTGTTTCTGCCAAACAGTTCTACTTTGGTTTCATCTGACATTCATATGACATTCTCCCAATACTCTTCTGGATCATCTAAAGGCTCTCTAGCAAATTTCAGTCAGCGCCGGACATGTACTGGCTTAAGCAGGAAGACATGCCTGGCACTGCAGGATCTGAGTCCCTGGCGGTGGTGTAGTGTGTTACTGATGGTAGCCTTTGCTACGTTGGTCCCAGCTCTCTGCAGGTCATTCACTAGGTTCCCCTGTGCAGTTCTGGGATTTTTGCTCACATTTCTTGTGATCATTTTGACCCCACAGGGTGAGATCAGATTGAGGGAGATTATCAGTAGTCTTGTATCTCTTCCATTTTCTAATTATTGCTCCCACGGTTGATTTCTTCACACCAAGCCACTTGCCTATTGCAGATTCAGTCTTCCCAGTCTGGTGCAGGGTGACAATTTTGTTTCTGGTGTCCTTCGACAGCTCTTTGGCCTTCACCAGAGTGGAGTTTGGAGTGTGACTGCTTCAGGTTGTGGACAGGTATCTTTTAGACTGATACCAAGTTCAAATAGGTGCCATTACTACAGGTAATTAGTGGAGGACAGAGGAGCCTGCCTATGAGACTCAGAAATCTTGCTTGTTTGTAGGTGACTCAATACTTAATTTTCCACTATAATCTATATATATATAAATGTAATGTTCGTTTGTGGGATTAACATAACTTAAAAACCTCTGGACGAATTGCTGCCAAATTTGGCCACAAGACACCTAGGAGTGACCATCACTCAAAAAATTAATTTTGTCATTTGGGAGTTGTCGTTGCTAGGATTTATAGTTAACCTACAATCAAAGAGCATTCTGAACTCCACCAGTGATGGAATTGAACCAGTCTTGGCACACAGAACTCCCATGACCAACAGAGAATACTGGAAGGCTTTGTTGGGCATTGACCTTGAGTTTGGGAGTTGTAGTTCACCTACATCCAGAGAGCACTGTGGACTCAAACAATGATGGATCTGGACCAAACTTGGCACAAATACTCCATATTCCCAAATATGAACACAGATGGAGTTTGGGGGAAATAGACATTGACATTTGGGAGTTGTCATTACTGGGATTTATAGTTCACCTACAATCAAAGAGCATGCTGAACCCTACCAAAGACAGAATTGGGGCAAACTTCCCACACAGAACCCTCATGACCAACAGAAAATACTTAAGGCCATCCAGTCTAACTCCCTTCACCAGGGCAAGAAAACGTAATCAACGCCCTCCTGACAAAGAGTCATCCAGCCATAGATATAGATATATGATTCACACAGAGAGAGAGAGAGATACAGTATCATAGATTTGAAAGGGACCCCTTTCCAGAATAGGTAACTCCTGGCATCAAGTCCCAAATGCACTTTGTTCAGAGATTTAGGATTATCTGCACATTGCACCTTCCTCCAAATACCTCTACATATCACCTGTCAAGTCCAGCACTTTTACATTTTGTCTATTACATTTGGCCCGGCCTTTAGGTTTTAAATGCGTCACGGTGTCATTGTTTTTACTGTTTATTGTTATGCTTGATGTTTTATTATTTGCTTATGAGTTTTATTGTTGTATTTGTATGCTGTTGTTGTTGTGGCCTCGGCCTTTGTAAGCCGCATCGAGTCCTTCGGGAGATTTTGCGGGGTATAAATAAAGATAATAATAATAATAATAATAATAATAATAATAATAATAATATTAATAAAGAAGGACAATTATATGTTGCATGGTTCCAGAGTAGGCAAACCAAACAATCTCCACATCAGCACTTACAAAGAAACAGGAAGAAATACTGTTTACCCACAAACATATAGAAACTACATATATTAGAAGCCAACGCTTTCTAATTATTTTATTTTCCAGATCACTAGACTGGGCCACAGCAACGCATGGCAGGAGACCGCTAGTTTGCAAATAAATTTGTTAAAAATCAGACAATGTGATTTTCTGGATGTGTTTTCTCATGTTGTCTCCCATAGTTGAGGTCTACCTATGATGTCAATTACAGGCTTCTCTCATCTTTTTAAGCATGAGAACTTGTACAATTGGTATCTGACTAAATACTTTTCCCCCCCACTGTAACTTTTCTCTCCAATCTCCCTTGAGATTGCTGTACTTTCACCCTTCCGGGATGTTGCTATTATCATTCTAGCTGCAACAAAAGCTGTATTTGCAAATCATATGTGTTTTAATTATGCTGTGGCCTGCCTCGAGGAGAGGCAGGTAAGAAATAAAATTATTATTATTATATATATATATTTTCTTAGAATGCATCAATACCTTCAATACTCTTATATTCCATCCTTAATTCATTACTTCAGCTATAAGTGTATATGTACCTTGTATATATATTTTTTTTCGCCTTTGTGCCCTCCCCCCCTTCAATTTACATTCTCTTTCCAAAATAAATTTCTTCTTGTGGAGGTAATTTCCCATCTACTTCTTTTAAGCCATTCTCAATAAATTTTCCCCAAATTTTGTCAAAGTCGTTTTCCTTCCATACACCTTTCCTGACTCTTAACCTACATGTCAATTTATCATTTATTGCTATTTTCCATAGTTCTTTTTACCATTCTTCAATTGATATATTTAATTTACCTTTCCAGTTCTTCGCTATCAGTAATCTTACTGCGGTCAACATGTTATCTATTGCATCTTTCTCTGTTTTTTTCAATTTCTTAACATTATTTAGTGACAACAATGCAATGCCTCCACTTTTCCCTATCTTCATATCCATTATAGCTTCTATCTCTCCAAATACCTTCCCCCAAAATTCATTTACATATTTACATTGCCACCACATATGTATATATGTACCCACCTCCTGGCAACCTCTCCAACAATTTTTTTGTGACATTCCTATTAATATTTGCAATCTTCACTGGTGTTAAGTACCATTTCCAAACCAATTTATAATAATTTTCTTTAACACGTATCGATAAATTCTTTAAATATCTTTGATCCCATAATTGTACCCAATCCGCTTCTTTTATTCTAATCCCTAGGTCTTCCTCCCATATCTCTCTTAGTGTTGCGTCTTTTATTTTTTCCTCCTTAATATCAATTATCATCTTGTACAATTTGCTGGTTATTCCTTTCAGTTTATGGTATCCACCCGTAGCTCTTTCTTTTTATCATTTGTTCAACTTGTGTACGTTTGCCTCCTTTCCCATTATTATTATTATTATTATTATTATTATTATTATTATTATTATTATTCTCATAGAAGCAACCAAGGGAAAACATGCCATAGAACAACCTAAAGGACCTGCTCACACCTTGCAGAGCCCAGAATATGATCCTGCAGTTATGGGTTAAATATCCCTGTATTTAAATCAAGACAGTGGGATTTGTAGGTCTCCTCATTAACACGTCTTTTTTCTTGCTTTGCCTTTGCAGTCAGCAGTGGCTCTGTGACTGTGAACGCAGACTCTTCCGTCCAACTCCTCGCAGAGGAAGTCGCACTCTTGGATCAACTCGATCTAGCGGTGAGTCCCTGTTTTCCTTCATTGTGGCCTCTTTAACCTCATCTGATTATGATTGAGAGTTACCCGGGCTGCCTGGTTTCGAGGCAGCCTTAATGTGGTCAATCTTCCACATGGTGCACGCCTTTCTAAGGGCCGTCCAGAACACAGAGTCTCGGTGGAAGACCTTAAGAGGGTTCTCTCAGAGTGAAAAAACAATGTCAGTAAAGCCTTCGACAAGGTTCCCCCATGACCTTGCAAACAAACTACTCAAATGTGGGCTAGGCAATGCTACTGTTAATCATTAATAATCTATATAAATAAAAATGCAATGTTAGTTTGTGGGATTAACAGAACTCAAAAACCACTGGACGGATTGACACCAAATTTGGACACAAGACACCTACCAGGCCAACAAGTGACCATCACTCATAAAAACACTGAAAAATACAGCAGAAGAGACTTAAAAAGCCAAAAAACCCCAAAAAATTATATTACAACGCATGGGCAAAACCACATATATAGTCCACGCTCTGGTTACATCCCGTCTTGACTACTGCAACGCTCTCTACGTGGGGTTGCCTTTGAAGACGGCCCGGAAGCTCCAATTAGTCCAACGGGCGGCAGCCATGATACTAACGGGAGCGGAGCGCAGGGAGCATACAACTCCCCTGCTGCACCAGCTCCACTGGCTGCCGATTTGCTACCGGGCTCAATTCAAAGTGCTGGCGTTGGCCTTTAAAGCCCTAAACGGTTCTGGCCCAACTTACCTATCCGAACGTATCTCGGCCTATCAGCCCACCAGGACCCTAAGATCTTCTGGGGAGGCTCTGCTCTCCACCCCGCCTGCTTCACAGGTGCGGCTTGCGGGAACGAGAGACGGCCTTTTCTGTGGTGGCCCCTCGGCTTTGGAACGCCCTCCCCATAGAGGTAAGATCAGCCCCCTCGCTGATGGTGTTTCGAAAAAGATTGAAGACATGGATGTTCAAACAAGCATTCGGTTAATCCGAGGCAATAAAATTGTTGATTAAGGACTGGTAACCATGGACGATGAAATTGGATTACGATTCTAGTTAAGAGATGCATTGGATTATATTGGTGGCCCAATATTATGTATTGTATGTTGTTTTATGCTTTTAAACTGAATATTGTTGATTGTTGTGGAGTTGTAAACCGCGTTGAGTCGCCAATTTAGGCTGAGAAACGGCGGTATACAAGCGCAGTAATAAATAATAAATAGATAAATATATATATATACGCGAACACACACATATATACACGTACACACACACATATACACACTGCTCATTGGAGGGAAGGCTAGTAGAGGCAAAGATGAAGTACTTTGGCCACATCACGAGAAGAAATGTTTATTTATTTATTTATTTCGGGTACTTCTACCCCGCCCTTCTCAACCCCCGAGGAGGGACTCAGGGCGGCTTACAAACGGCACAATTTGATGCCTGCACAGTAATACACATACATATAAAACAGCAATTAAAACAATTATAACAATTAAAACAGTCAATATATAACACAATCAATAAAACTAATCTCATGCTCAGTGTTCGTCCTTCAGAGTTCCAAAATTTCATTCCACGTTGTCCGTTCTTGTCAGTCGTCAAAGTCCTTTATCTGCCAGATTGTCCGAATGCCTGGTCCCAAATCCATGTTTTCAATTTTCTCCTAAAGGAAAGGAGGGATGTCGCTGATCTAATTTCCCCGGGGAGTGAATTCCATAGGTGAGGGGCCACCACTGAGAAGGCCCTGCTCCTCGTCCCCGCCAATCTCACTTGTGATAGAGGCGGGGCCGAGAGCACGGCCTCCCCAGAAGATCTTAGAGTCCGAGGTGGGATGTAGAGAGAGATCCGTTCGGACAGATATGCTGGGCCGGAACCGTATAGGGTTTTGTAGGTCAAAACCAGCACTTTAAATTGTACTCGGAATTGGATCGGCAGCCAGTGGAGCTGACATAACAGGGGGTGGTATGCTCCCTGTATGACGCTCCTGTAAGTACTCTGGCTGCCTCCCGCTGGACTAGTTGGAGTTTCCGAACAGTCTTCAAAGGCAACCCCACGTAGAGTGCGTTGCAGTAATCTAATCGGGATGTAACAAGAGCGTAGACCACTGTGGCCAGATCCGAGGCAAAATCTCACCTTTACCTGGACTCTTTATAATGCATTATATGGCAGTATAGATCCAGGCTTACTATTATTATTATTATTATTATTATTATTATTATTATTTTACTGACACAAATGAGAAGACAGGAAAGCTTAGTGAAGACAATGATGCTGGGGTAAATGGAAGGAAAAAGGAAGAGGGGCCGACCAAGGGCAAGATGGATGGAAGGCATCCTTGAAGTGACTGTATTGACCTTGAAGGAGCTGGGGGTACTGACGGCTGACAAGGAGCTTTGGCGTGGGCTGGTCCATGAGGTCACGAAGAGTCGGAAGCGACTGGAACAACAACATATAACAAAACACATATACATAGACTGGGCCAAAGCAACGCCTGGCAGGGGACAGCTAGTCTATATAAATAACAATGTAGTGTTCGTTTGTGGGATTAACATAACAAAGAAACCACAGGACGAATTGCTGCCAAATTTGCCCACAAGACACTTACTAACTCAAGGAGTGACCATCACTAAAAAAAAGGGTGTTGTCATTTGGGAGTTGTAGTTGCTGGGATTTATAGTACACCTACAATCAAAGAGCATTCTGAACTCCACCAATGATGGAATTGAATCACACATGGCACACAGGACTCCCATGACCAAGAGAAAACACTGGAAGGGTTTGGTGGGCATTGACCTTGAGTTTGGGAGTTGTAGTTCACCTACATCCGGAGAGCACTGTGGACTCAAACAATAATGGATCTGGACCAAACTTGGCACGAATATTCCATTTGCCCAAATATGAACACGGATGGAGTTTGAGGAAAATAGACCTTGACATTTGGAAGTTGTAGTTACTGGGATTTATAGTTCACCTACAATCAAAGAGCATTCTGAACCCCGCCAACGATAGAATTGGGGCAAACTTCCCACACAGGACTCCCATGACCAACAGAAAATACTTAAGGCCATCCAGTCCAACTCCCTACACCAGGGCAAGAAAACGTAAACAAAGCCCTCCTGACAAAGAGCCATCCAGCCATAGATATAGATATATATGATCTACACACAGAGAGATATAGTATCATAGATTTGAAAGGTACTCCTAAAGAAGGACAATTATATGTTGCATGTTCCAGAGTAGGCAAACCAGACAATCTCCACATCAACACTGACAAAGAAACAACAAGGAATACTGTTTACCTATAAACATAAAGAAATTACATATATTAGAAGCCAACACTTTCGCATTACTTTATTTTCCAGATCACCAGACTGAGCCACAGCAACACATGGCAGGGGACGGCTAGTAATATTATAATAATAACAACAACTGCCTCCAGGGACTTGGGGCGGCTTACATGGGGACGAGCCCAATCAACATAGTTGAAATATAACACAGTAAAATACATAAACAACAGCATAAAACAGAATAAAACAACGATGTTATAACAAAATATAAGAGCAACCATCGAACCAATAATCTCCCTCGGGAGGGAGTTCCAGAGCCGAGGGGCCACCACCGATAAGGCCCTCTCTCTCATCCTCACCAACCATGCCTGTGACGGAGGTGGGAGCGAGAGAAGAGTCTCCCCAGCAGATCTTATAGAATGTGCAGGTTCATAAGGGAAAATGCGGTCGCAAAGATAGACAGGTCCCAAACCGTTTAGGGCTTTATAGGTAATAACCAGCACCTTGAATTGGGACCGGAAACTTATCAGCAGCCAGTGGAGCTAGTTGAACAGGGGGGTTGACTACTCCCTAAAATTTGCTACAGTTAACAACCTGGTCGCTGACCTCTGCACTAGTTGCAGTTACCAGGCCGTCTTCAGAGGCAGTCCCACGCAGGGTGTATTACAGTAATCCAACCTGGAGGTAACTAAGGCATGGACCACCATGGCCAAGTCAGACTTCTCAAGGTACAGTCGCGGCTGGTGCACGAGCAGAAGGCCATCTCAGCAACCTCTTATACCTGAGCATCAAGCGTCAGCGCTCAGTCCTGGAGGACCCCCAGACTGCGGACCTGTGTCCTTGGGGGGGAGAGGGGGTAACCCCATTGAGCACAGGTTGCCACCCTAGACCCCGATCAGCTGAGCAACTGATTTGGGGAACCTCTGTCTTGTCAGGATTAAGTTTCAGCTTGTTAGCCAATCACAGCAGCCAGGCACTGGTCTAGGATCTGGGGGGCTTCCTTGGAATTTATATAATTTATATAATTAATGAATAATAAAATTGTTAAGATTAATAAAACAATACAGTTACTGTTATTTGTTGGTGGTTAAGGAGCCAAACTCAAAGGGCGCTTCTCTCCAATGGTACCTCTTCATCCTGGAAATAACTATTTGGGTGCCATGAAGAGGGTCTTAGTGGTGTTCAAGGTCTCAGTGCTTTGGGGATCTCTTTCCATTCTATATTATTGTTACTATTATATTCCTAAAGTTGGAAGAGACCTCCAAAGGCCATCTATTCCAACCCCCTTCAGACTGGATGGAAGATAGAAATTATTATCATCATCATCATCATCATCATTATCATCATCATCATCCTAGAGTCAGAGGAGACCCCAAAGGCAATCCAGTCCACCCCCATTTTTCCAAGCAGGATGATAGAACGTTGTTGTTGTTATTATGCAGGTTCTATAGGTCTATTGCTGTTGTTGCCAGGGGTACTTTGATTTTACTTTTCCTGCATGGAAGAAAAGGGATGGACTGGATGGCCCTTGGGGTCTCTTCCAGCTCTATTTATTATTATTATTATTATTATTATTATTATTTGAAACACAACAAGATGAGTCCACAGCAGACACTCTGCTGGCTGTTGTATTGGATCACACGTCGGACACTTCCAAAGTGTCTAGGACTGTGATGTTTCGGCGAATAATGCGTGCGGATCCCAGCTAGCAGATAGTAATGTTATCAGCGCCGATTGTGTTTAAGTGCAAGCCAAGGTCTTTAGGCACTGCACCCAGTGTGCCGATCCCCACTGGGACCACCTTTATTGGCTTGTGCCAGAGTCTTTGCAGTTCGATCTTTAAATCCTCGTATTGTGTCATCTTTTCCAGTTGTTTCTCGTTAATCCTGCTGTCACCTGAGATTGCAACATCGACAATCCATACTTTGTTTTTTAACACGATCGTGAGGTCAGGAGTGTTGTTGTTGTTGTTGTTATTATTATTATTATTATTATTATTATTATTATTCAGAGGCTGGATGGTCATCTGTCGGGGTGCTTTGATTATGCTTTTCCTGCATAATGGCAGAAGGGGGTTGGACTAGATGGCCTTTTTAGAGTCCTTTCCAACTCTATGATTCTGCTTCCCTCATCCCCATGAAATGGATGTGTATATATATTGAGAGAGAATGAGTTTGGAGTTTTCACATCCACTTCCGTTTCTGACCCTCGCAGGCAGCCAAGTCCAACCTGGAGAAGGCCTTGTCTGAGTTAGCCGCCACTTCCGACGAATCTTCCAAAGCAGAGGCCCAGATACGCGTGGAGGCCAATGAAGCCCTGGTGAAGGCACTGGAGTGAGGAGGAAGGTAAGCAAGTCGATATGTTTTGCATGTGAGCTTTGCACCATACCGTCCTCCTTTTCTGTCTCGTACAGGATCTGTTTTCAGTCGGCAGCATTCTCAATTCAGTTATAATTGTTATAATGATATTATAAATAATATATGATAATAAAAATAATGTCAAATAATGTAAATTAATAATGATGTACAACAATAATATTAAAATAAGGTAATAATGTATAATGTAATAATTATACCATATTTACTCAATACTAATATTCATCTTTTTGACTAAATTACCTTCCCAAAATTAGGATGCACATTAGATTCACGTATTACGGTAAATACTTTTTGAAAATTGAGGTGCGCATTAGATTCAGTGGCACATTAGACTCGAGTAAATATGGGTATATAATAATAATACTAATAATAATGTGAAATAATAATAATAATAATGTACAATAATAATATTAAAATAATGTAATAATAAGGTATAATCTATATAAATATAATCCAAAAGGGCGTTGCTAGGGACCGCAAAACGCGAAAACCCCCGGACGAAAAATCACCAAACTTGGCGTACGCATACCTCAAACCACAAGGTATGCAGAACACTCATCACAACTCAAAAAAACTTAACAACAAACTCACAATTACACAACCAAACGGAGCATGCGCAGAGGAGTCCCGGCGCGAGTCACCCGGCGCACGCACATGGCCACACCACGCCTCCTCCGCGCAAGCCACGCCCCCTCCCATCGCCGTCACGCCCCTTCCCCCATGCCAAACTGAGCGTGGCCTAGGCGCCGATGCTGAATCCCCGGCCTGGGAGTGGGAGCTCGCCCGCCTGTGCGCGCTGAGGGCAGGCCTGGTGCACGTGCGGCGCGGGGGGCTGTCCACCTTCCACGGGCCTGGACAGCTGGTGGCCTTCCCGGGGCTGGACCAGTAGAGGCTGCCTGGGAGGCCCCCGCTGCGCGCCTTCGTGGTCCGCCTGGGAGAGGCCGCAACCCGCCTCTCCCGAGGACAGCCCTTCGGCCTCCGCCATGCCCGGCCCAGGCCGCCCCCGCACACTGGCGTCTGGTTCCAGGGAAGGAAGGACGCCGCCATCGGGGACGATAAGGAACGGGAAGGAGGGAAGGAAGTGGGTGAGGGAAGGAAGGACGGAAATGAGGGGAAGGTGTGTAAATAGGAAGGAAGGAAGGAAGGTAGGAAGGAAGGAAGGAAAGAAGGAAACAAAGAAGAAAAGTGGGAAGGGGAAGGGAAGGTGTAGGAACGAAGGAAGGAAGGAAGGAAGGCAGGTATATCAGAGAAGAAAGGTAGGAAATAAACAAAAGGAGGGAAGGGGAAGGGAAGGTGTATGAAAAAAGGAAGGAAGGAGAAGTTGGGAAAGTATATGAGGGAAGAAAGGTAGGAAAGAAAGAAGAAAGAGAGAGTAGGAGCATGGGAAAGAAGGGAGAAAGGAAGGAAGGAAGAAGAAAGGAGCGGAAGGGAAGGTGTAGGAACGAAGGAAAGGAAGGAAGAAAGGACAGAAGAAAAGGGAAGGGAGGAAAGAAAGCAAATGAAGAAGAGAAAGGGAGGAAAGAAAGAAAAGAAAAAGAAAAGGAAGTATGGAACTACAGAGCGAAGGAAGGAAGGAAAGAGAAAGAGAGGGAAGAAAGGAGACAAAGAAGAAGGAAAAGAAAAAGGAGGAGGAAGGAAAAAGGTACAGAAGGAAGGAGGAGAGAAGGAAAGGAAAAAGGGAAGGGAAGAAAGACGCAGCAAAGGAAAAAGAGAAAGAAGGAGAGAAAGACGCAGGGAAGGAAATAAATAAGGAGAAGGAAGGATGAAAGCAAACAGCTAAGGAAGGGAGTAAACAGGTAGAGAAGGAAGAAAGGAAAGAAGAAAACGGAGTGAAGGAAGGAGTGAAAGAAGCAGAGAAAGAGGGAGAGAAGGCTGGCCACAGGAACGCGTGGCAGGTAAAGCTAGTGTAATATATATCGATAATACAATAATGTACAACAACATTATTTTTTTATATTCTGCTTTTCTCTCTAATAGGACCCAAAGTGATTCACAACATAATATAATAGAAATCAAAGCACAAATATCTATCTATACACTAAAAATGAAAAATGTGTATGTGTGTATGTGGCGGAGGTGTCTACTTACACAGACAGCCTCCCACTTCCACAAACAAGCTATAGTTCCTAGTGCTGAGAAGCCTCCAAAGGCACTCCTTCAACTGACATTGCATCAGGAACATGTAGCCAATGTCCTCCCCAAACTCTATGGCCCACCACCCAAAGAATTCTTTCATGCGGGGAGAATCTCATCCTAGATTTTAGGTGCTTCCTCCACCACAGGCAGGCATCCCAGGGTTCCTTGTGTGGAATTTGCATGATCTTGCCCACCGCCTCTCCCTTAACCCTTTCCTATGGAACACAACAAACAGAGAGGAATTGAGGGATTTGGGGGACTGACTCAACAGGATGGAAGTTGTAGTTCACCCTGCGTTGACCCACGATTCTGGGAATTGTAGTTCATCCACATAGTTATGTATTTTCTAATGGGAGCATTCATAAAAACCAAAATAAAAAACTGGTTTTTTTGCTAATAAATAGTGGTAAAGGTTTTCCCCTGACATTAAGCCCAGTTGGGTCCAACTGGAGGTTGGTGCTCATCTCCATTTCTAAGCCGAAGAGCCAGCGTTGTCCGTAGGCGCCTCCAAGGTCATATGGCCAGCATGACTACATGGAGTGCCATTACCTTCCTGCCAGAGTGGTACCTAGGTTTTGACCTTATTGAAATGTTGTTTTATGATTGTGTTTATACTTTTTTTTTTCCCTATGTAATTTTGTTGATGTTGTTTTGATGTTATGCCTTGGTTTTTATTTTATTGTAATATGTTGTCTGGGCTTGACCCCATATAAGCTGCTCCGAGTCCCCACTGGGGAGATGGTAGCGGGGTATAAATAAACATTATTATTATAAAACTCTATATCAGTGGTTCTCAACCTGGGGTCCCCAGATGGCAAAATCCTAGCCAGTTTAACAGCTATTAGGATTTCTGGGAGTTGGAGGCCAAAAACATCTGGGGACCCCAGGTTAAGAACCACTGCTCTATACGGTTCTGGCCTAGCTTACTCGTCCAAACGCATCCACCCCTACGTCCCACCTCGTAATGTAAGATCATCCGGGGAGGCCCTGCTCTCGCTCCCGTCAACAGCACAAATGTGTCTGATGGGGATGAGAGACAGGGCCTTCTTGGATGTGGCCCCCCACCTATGCAACACACTTCCAAATGAGGTAAGATCTGCTCCCTCCCTCCTGGCGTTTAGAAAGAAATTAAAATCATGGTTTTGGGACCATGCTTTTGGACAGTAGATGTATGTAGCACTTTAGAGGGACATTGACTGGAACGGCAATATGGCTGATGAGACTGTTTTACTGTTTTAATGATTGCTGATGTATTCTTTTAATTATGATTTATGTTCAGTTGTGGTTTTATTATTGTAACTAGCCGTCCCCTGCCACGCATTGCTGTGGCCCAGTGTGGTGATCTAGAAAATAAAGTAATGAGAAAGTATTGGTTTCTAATATATGTAATTTCTTTATGCTGGTGGGTAAAGAGTATTTCTTATTGTTTGTCAGTGTTGATGTGGAGATTGTCTGGTTTGCCTACTCTGGAATATGCATCATATAATTGTCCTTCTTTTAGGGGTCCCTTTCAAATCTATGATACTATCTCTGTGTGTGTGTGTGTGTGTGAATCATCTATATCTATATCTATGGCTGGATGGCTCTTTGTCAGGAGGGATTTGATTACATTTTTTTGCCCTGGTGAAGGGGGTTGGACTGGATGGCCTTGAGTATGGGGGTTCTGTGTGGGAAGTTTGCCCCAATTCTGTCGTTGGTGGGGTTCAGCATGCTCTTTGATTGTAGGTGAACTATAAATCCCAATATCTACAACTACCAAATGTCAAGGTCTATTTCCCCATAACTCCATCTGTGTTCATATTTGGGCATATGGAATATTTGAGCCAAGTTTGGTCCAGATCCATTATTTTTTGAATCCACAGTGCTCTCTGGATGTAGGTGATCTACAACTCCCAAACTCAAGGTCAATGCCCACCAATCCCTTCCAGTGTTTTCTTTTGGTCATGGGAGTCCTGTATTCCACGTTTGGTTCAATTCCATAATTGGTGGAGTTCAGAATTCTCTTTGATTGTAGGTGAACTATAAATCCCAGAAACTACTACTCCCAAATGGCAAAATCAATTTTTTTTTTACTGATGGTCACCCCTTGGGTTAGTAGGTATCTTATGGCCAAATTTGGTGGCAATTTATCCAGTGGTTTTTGAGTTATGTTAATCCCACAAACGAACATTATGGTCATGTTCCAGAAGCATTGTCTCCTGACGTTTGGCCTGCATCTATGGCAGGCATCCTGCGTCTATGGCATTTCTATTCTAATTAGAGGTCATTTATCTAAATGCAAATAAATGCAATATTATAAATACGAATCATGCATCTGTTCCTGGACGGGGTGGCCGTTATCGGGCTTCTCCAACTCTGTGCTTACACTGTAGTTCACTTCCTCTATTATACACAAAGTAGAGTCGAGATTTAAAAAGGGTGAATATCCAAAGCCCACCCGTGTCATGTTTTCTTTTTTACAAAATCATTGAAAGAATTAGATTTAATGCTGTCTGTTGCTTCTACCAGTGTTTGCCACTAGAGGGCGCAGACAGACAGGTCAATGGAGGGAGGCTGTATGGGTTGATTGGGTTGTAGGTTTTTCCGGGCTATATGGCTGTGTTCTGGAGGCAATTTTTCTCCTGACGTTTCGCCTGCATCTATGGCAAGCATCCTCAGAGGTAGTGAGGTCTGTTGAAGTAGGAAAAATGGGTTTATATATCTGTGGAATGACCAGGGTGAGACAAAGGACTTTTGTCTGCTGGGGCTAGGTGTGAATGTTTCACTGATCACCTTGATTAGCATTCAATGGCTTGGAAGTGCCTGGGGGGAATCTTTTGTTGAGAGCAGACAAAAGTCCTTTGTCTCACCCTGGTCATTCCACAGATATATAAACCCCTTTTTCCTACTTCCAACAGACCTCACTACCTCTGAGGATGCTTGCCATAGATGCAGGCGAAATGTCAGGAGAAAAATTGCCTCCAGAACATGGCCATATAGCCCGGAAAAACTTACAACAACCCAGTGATTCCGGCCATGAAAGCCTTCGACAATACAATATACATGATGTATATACACTTACACATATATATTTCTATTGTGTGTGTGTGTGTGTGTGTGTATACACTTATGCGTATATATTTTTATTGTGTCTATATACACATTATGTGTATACGCTTATGCATGTATATTTCTGTTGTCTGTATATGAATGATGTATATACTTATGCATTATTTCTATTGTGTGTGTATGTACATGGTGTGTATGATGATGATGATAATAATAATAATAATTATACGTGTATATTTCTGTTGTGTGTATACAAATGATATGTATACACTTATGCATCTAGATTTCTATTGTTTGTATATATACATGATGTGTATACACTTACGCTTATATATTTCTATTGCGTGTGTATATATGTGTGTATACACATATGCGTATATATTTCTATTGTGTATATACGCATTATGTGTATACTTTTAGGTGTGTATATGTCTATTGTGTGTATAGGAATGATGTGTCTACACCAGGGGTTCTCAAACTAAGGCCCGTGGGCCGGATACGGCCCTCCAAGGTCGTTTACCCTGCCCTCGCTCAGGCTCAACCTAAGTCTGAAACAACTTGAAAGCACACAACAACAACAACAACCCTATCCCATCAGCCAAAAGCAGGTCCACGCTTTCAATTGAAATACTAATAAGTTTATATTTGTTAAAATTGTTTATTTTAATTATTGTATTGTTTTTAAGTGTTTTTTGCACTACAAATAAGATATATGCAGTGTGCATAGGAATTAATTCATTTTTTTTAAAAAATTATAATCCAGCCCGCCAACAGTTTGAGGAATTGTGACCTGGCCCTCTGTTTAAAAAGTTTGAGGACCCCAGGTCTACACTAATACATGTGTATACACTTATGCTTATATGTTTCTATATTTTGTGTATATACGCATTATGTGTATATACTTATGTGTGTATATTTCTGTTGTGTGTATATGAGTGATGTGTATACACTTATGCATATATTTCTATTGTGTGTGTATATACACATCATGTATATATGTGTGTATATTTCTGGTGTGTGTAAACGAATAATATGTATACACTTACGTATATATAGTTCTACTATCTGTCCCCTGCCACGCGTTGCTGTGGCCCACGTAGGTGTTCTGTGTGGGAGGTTTGGCCCAATTCTATCATTGGTGGGGTTCAGAATGTTCTGTGATTGTAGGTGAACTATAAATCCCAGTAACTACAACTCCCAAATGTCAAGATTCTGTTTTCCCCAAACTCCACCAGTGTTCACATTTGGGCATATTGAGTATTTGTGTAGAGTTTGGTCCAGATCCATCATTGTTTGAGTCCACAGTGATCTCTGGATGTAGGTGAACTACAACTCCAAAACTCAAGGTAAATGCCCACCAAACCTTTCCATTTTATGTTGGGCGTGGGAGAATTGTGTGCCAAGTTTGGTTCAATTCCAATGTTGTTGGGGTTCAGAATGCTCTTTGATTGTAGGTGAACTATAAATCCCAGCAACTACAACTCCCAAATGACAAAATCAGGCTGTTTTTTTTTTTTTTGAGTGAAGGACATACATTGGGTTGTTAGGTGTCTTGTGTCAAAATTTGGTGGCAATTCGCCCAGTGGTTTTTGAGTTGTGTTAATCCCACAAATGAACATTACATTTTTATTTATATAGATTGTGTGTGTATATATACATGATGTGTATATATGTGTGTATATTTCTGTTGTGTGTATATGAATCATGTGTATACACTTACGCATATAGTTCTATTGTGTGTGTATAGGAATGATGTGCATACACTTACGCATATGTATTTCTATTGTGTGTGTGTGTATACATGATGTGTATACAGCTTTGCATATATATTTCTATACTAGAATATTTCCGGCAAAGTGAGGCAGGTCTTAAATATAATAATAATACTTATTATTAATAGGTATTTTGTAACGGTGCCATTTGGGGTGGGGGAGGCCTTTGAAGCCATTGTGTGCCTCTTCCTTGCCAGATATGTCAACATCTCCTTCCTCCTCTGTCTATTCCAGGAAGTCCCTCCCTCGGCTGCAAGGAAAACGGCCATCGACAACTTCCTCTGCTTCCTCCTCCTCACCTCTCTTTGGCACGGTCCATACAGCTGCTCTTCCTAATTAAAGAATTACAAAGAAAAAGTCACTTAATAGAACTGTCTTATTTATTCCATTGCTTTCGCTATCTGCATTTGGGCTGGATTTCACCAAGTTGCATTTATAAGATGCAACAAATTAACCAGGAACCCTATATATATACATACAAACACACACACACACACACAAATATATATTATACACATGCATTAAAGTAGATACCTTAAAATATATACACATATAATATTAATGCCGTAATTTATATTTTTATTCTATCAATATTAATATGTACTAATATACATACATTACTATATACACATATTTATATGCTTTATATAATATTAATATATAGATTTAAACATTGATATGTACATACATATATATTAAATATTAATATAATATATGGACATTAACATATATACTATATATACACATACATACATTAATATATGTACACATTAAAGTATATACAGTGATATTAATATATATACATGTAATATTAAAATATACATTAAAATACATTAATTATATATATAATGTATATATGGAGCCCCCGGTGACGCAGTGAGTTAAACTGCTGAGCTGCTGAGCTTGTTGACTGAAAGGTCGCAGGTTCAAATCTGGGGAGCGGCGTGAGCTCCCGCTGTTAGCCCCAGCTTCTGCCAACCTAGCAGTTCAAAAACATGCAAATGTGAGTAGATCAATAGGTACCACTCCGGCTGGAAGGTAATGACACTCCATGTAGGCGTCTACGGACAACGCCGGCTCTTTGGCTTGGAAATGGAGATGAGCACCACACCCCAGAGTCGGACACAACTGGACTTAATGTCAGGGGAAAACCTTTACCTATACATATATATACATTATATATTAATATAATATATACTGTTAATATATCTACACATTAAAATATAAATACATTATATTTACACATATATACTTATATATTATATGAATATATACTATATATATACACACACACATTAAAATACATATAATAATTTACATTTATACATATATACATACACATTAAAAATATTGCTTGGTCTTTCTTTTGGTTGTTGGTGTCCATATTGGTCCACTGTGGGCAGGTAAGCAAAGGCCTGTTGTTCTTAGTATGATTATGTTTGTGTTTTTATGTTTGTTTACATTGCTTTGTGCCTCCATGTCATTTCTGACCCTAACGCAAACCTATCGCAACATTTCCTTGGCAAGGTTCATTCAGAGGTATTTCGCCTTCTAGTTTTTACCCCGTTTGGGTGCTTAGATGTCGTTGAGCGACAACTCCAATCACTTGTGGTTATTCGCTGTGTGAACTGGGAATGATGGAAGTCACAACCCACACGTGCCCTACCCTCATGCATTGAGATACATTGAAAGGGATCAAGAAATCTGTCCAGTTCAACCTTTCGGCTCTGGATTCCTTGAATTCATGGCATCTCTTGGGATCCCTGCCAAAACAGTGTTGGAAGGGACCCCCAGGAGCCATCTAGTCTGACTCCGCCACAAAGAGCTTCTTCGTGGGGTTGTGTGAACAGACGTTTCAATTCGTCATTCGAAATCTGGACTTTTGTTATACATATATATGTATTATACTATGGAAGTATGGGAATTGTAGTTTTACAAAGCCTTGAGCCTTAGCCTTCCTTGGTGAAGAGTGCTGGTGCTTCACCAAACTACAACTCATCATTCCAAAGCGTTGGGCCATGGCGGCTAAAGTGGGGTCACACCGTATTCATTCCACAGTGTCAGATGCACCCTTGTTCAAGGTTTGTTCTAACCATAGGCACCCCATTTGGCCACCTGATATAATCAAACTACATTTCCCAGGATTCTTTGCGTGAGAGGGGCGAATGTGTACAAGTGCGTCATGGTGTCCATAAGCGGACATCCATTCCGTGAGGACTTCTATTAAGTCTTACGTCATTGGTCATGTTGCTTCTCCTGGTGGAGAGAAAAGCAGGGTACAAATAACAACAACAACAACAATAATAATAATAATAATTTTCGAATTGGAAAATACATCACACAGTCCTAGATGCTTGGGAAGTGTTCAACTTGTAATTTTGTGATACGAAATCCAGCATATAGAACTCCTTCGCTGTGACATACTGTGCTTTTGTGTCAGTAAAATAATAATAAATAATAATAATAATAATAATAATAATAATAGGTACATAGCTGCTTTGCATTTCCTTGTGGAGAGAAGAGCTGGGTACAAATAATAATAGCAAAATGAGGGGTGGACTGGATTGCTCTTGGGGTCCCTTCTGAGGTTGATGATGATGATAATAATAATAATAATAATAATAATAATAATAATAATATACTAAACTAGCTGTACCCTGCCATGCGTTGCTGTGGCCTATAGTAAGAATTTTCGAAGTAAAGATAGATATGTGGACTACTATGAAAGAGAGGTACCTACCTATTCCTTCCCCCCTTTTTCTTCCCCTTCCCCTTTCTCTCCTTTCTTCCTTCTCTACCTCTTTCTTTCATTCCTTCTTTCACTCCTTGGTTTCATCCTTCCTTCTCTCTTTCCTTCCTTCCCTCCCCCTTTCTCTACTTCTTCCTTTGTCTCCTTTCTTCCCTCCCTGTTTCCTTCCTTCTTTCACTTTTTTTTTCCTTTTCTCCTTCCTTCTTTCTTTACTTCTTTTCCCTCAATTTTTCCTTCCTTCTTTCGGTACCTCTTTCCTTCCTTCTCTCCTTCCTTCCCTCTTTCCTTCTTTCCCTCCCTCCTTCTCTCTTTCCTTCCTTCCCCCTTTCCCTCCTTCATTCCTTCTCCTTTTCCCTCCCTCCTTTCTTCTCTCCTTCCTTCCTGTCTGTTCTCCCCAATACCATGTTAGAGTCCCTATAAGGGTATATTCTATGAGTCTATTTAATATAGTAATACATAGTAGTAACATTATATTATACTAGCTGTCCCCTGCCACGCGTTGCTGTGGCCCAGTCTGTTGATCTGGAAAATAAAATAATGAGAAAGTGTTGGTTTCTAATATATGTAATTTCTCTATCTTTGTGGGTAAACAGGGATCTTTTTCAAATCTATGGTACTATATCTGTCATTAACGTGTGTGTGTGTGTGTTTGTGTGTGTGAATCATATATATTTATCTATACCTATGGCTGGGTGGCTCTTTGTTGGGCTTTATGTTTTCTTGCTGTTTCTTTGTCAGTGTTGATGTGGAGAGTGTGGAGAGTGTCTGGTTTGCCTACTCTGGAACATGCAATATATCATTGTCCTTCTTTAAGGGCCTCTTTCAAATCTATGATACTATATCTCTGTGTGTGTGAATCATATATATCTGTCTATATCTATGGCTGGATGGCTATTTGTCAGGAGGGCTTTGATTATGTTTTCTTGCCCTGATGAAGGGAGTTGGATTGGATGGCCTTAAATATTTTCTGTTGGTCATGGGGGTTCTGTGTGGGAAGTTTGCCCCGATTCTGTCGTTCGTGGGTTTCAGAATGCTCTTTGATTGTAGGTGAACTGTGAATCCCAGTGACTACAACTCCCAAATGTCAAGGTCTATTTCCCCCAAACTCCACCTGTGTTCATATTTGGGCGTATTGAGTGCTTGTGCCAAGTTTGGTCCAGATCCATCATTGTTTGAGTCCACAGAGCTCTCTTGATGTAGGTGAACTACAACTCCCAAACTCAAGGTCAATGCCCACCAAACCCTTCCAGTATTTTCTGTTGCTTATGGGAGTTCTGTGTGCCAAGTTTGGTTCAATTCCATTGTTGATGGAGTTCAGAATGCTCTTTGATTGTAGGTGAACTATAAATCCCAGCAACTACAACTGCCAAATGACGAAATCATAATTTTTTGAGTGATGGTCACTCCTTATGTTGTGAGACGTTTTGTTGCCAAATTTGGTGTGATTTCGTTCATTGGTTCTTTTGTTTTTAAGGTACTCATTATGCACAGAGCAGATAGATAGATAGATAGATAGATAGATAGATAGATAGATAGATAGATAGATAGATAGATAGATAGATAGATAGTAGTATATATAGCAATAATATATATAATATATAATAAAGCAATATATATAATAGTAATATATAAAATATTATAATTCTATATATATATAGCCCGAAAAAACCCACAAGAACCTAGTGATTCCAGCCATGAAAGCGTTCGACAATACATTCTATATATATATCACACCAACCAGTGATCTAACATCCATCCGTGTGTGTGTTTGTGTGCGTGTGTCTACACTGCCATATAATCCAGTCCTAAGTAGATAATCCTGATTTTACATGGCAGTGTGGAAGGTTTGACTTTGGGCGCATCTACACTGTAGATTTAATAAAGGAGGATGAAGCTGGTGAGGGGAGGAGAAAAAGGAAGGAAGGAAGGAAGGAAGGAGAAGGAAGGGAAGTAGAGAAAGAGAGGGAAGGAGGGGGTTGGGCCGGATGGCCTTTAGGGCTCCCTTCCAACTGGTTGGCCATCTGTTGTGAGGGCAGCCTCCTACCTCCACAAACGGGCAATAGTTCCAAGTGCTGAGAAACCTCCACTGACATTGCAGGTTATAGCGAGCACCATGAACATGTAGCCCAAACACTGCCAATGTCCTTCCCAAACACTATGGCCCACCACCCAAGGAATGCTTTCATTCTGGGAGAATTTCATCCTAGATTTGATATGTTTCCTCCACCACAGGCAGGCATCCCAGGGTTCCTTTCTCTCTCAATTGGTGTGGAATTTGCATGATCCCGCCCACTGCCTCTCCTTTAACCCTTTCCCATAGTACACAGCAAACAGAGAGGAATTGATCTGCAACTCAACAGGCTGGAGGCGTTTGGGGGACTGAAGTCAACTGTAAATACTGGCAGGATTTGGGATTGACTACTCTTGGCATATGGGAGTTGTAGTTCACCATTATCCAGAGAGCGCTGAACCCAGCCGATGACAGATCTGGACCAAACTTGGCACACAGACCCAACATGCCCAGCTGTACATACAGGCCTGGCTTGGGGAGGATTGACCCATGATTCTGGGAATTGTAGTTCACCCGCATTGTTATGTATTTTCTAATGGGA